TGCTTCGACAACCAGGACACAACCTGTCGAGAAAAGAATGCTGATGAATACTGATGATACACCTTTGTCCATAGTGAAGTATTTCTTAACCCATGGACCAGCCACACGGTTCCACTACCCATAGACAGGGTGGCACAGAAACCAAGCTAGCGTACAAGTTGTCCACAGAACTGGATGACGCACATCCACATGTAGCGAAAGGGTATGCTGATGGCCTAAGATAAACAAAGATAACAAACACCTAATCAGGTTGTGCACTACCGATTTGCGGTCCTAAAAGTAGAAACCAACTGGGCCACTCTCTCCTTGGCAGTGATCGGAAAAACCATGACAACAGACATGCGGAATACACGGAATAGCTTGTCTCCTGCCAAGTGACGCATATCCCAAGAGGATCTAGGTATGTACAGGCTCAGGTAACAATGCCTTGCTCGCGTTACCTGCGTAGCCTGGGATTTCAAAAACGTAAGGCAGTAGACCGCTTGTCATTCCAGTTTTTCGAAAGCTTCACTTCCAAAGTGGCGTTAAGCACCTCGGGTCTTCAGCCCACAACAGGAACTCACAGTCGCCATTAGTTTTCAGACGAGTGAGCCGAAGTCAGCTCTTGCTTGCATAGCACACAATACCTAACGAGTACGCTGGTGTGTCACCTTCTGGATTAATGTTTGGTCGAGCCCTGCGCATTAAAAAGCAGATTGGGATCTTCGATCCTGGGAGTAAGATACGGGTTAGGGAGCAGAAACTAGCTGAACGGAGGAATCCGTGTTCAGAAATGACAGATGAAATTTGGGCCTGTACAAGCCAAACCAATCGACGCTTCAATCTAGCGATCCGTCACGAAGATACCTTTATCGAACAAGCGTGCCCGTTTGTCCACGTTTGTCTTTATAAGTTGAAATGGTTTTCCCGTAGATCCCGCGCAAACCAACAGACGGACACGACAACCTAACTGCAAACATTGGGACTAGAAATCCTCTGATGTTCCGCAGACCAGTTGGTCAACATCAACTGTGAATTAAAAACAAGATAAGAAGAAGGGGGAGGCCCAATCAAGCTTGCACAAGCACACATTTCTTTCTTCAGGATACGAAGCCTGGAAATATGACATGCGAGGCCAGCTCGACGCCAACACACCCCCACCGTAGACTGAACGAGTCTGGATTGTGACTTTTAAATGGGTGGGTGCGTCCACGTTCTGCCGATTAGATTGGTCAAACCAGCTTATGTAACGTGAGCACAAATTCTACAAATACCTAAACTACCTCGAATCGGCCAGATGGTGCCCAGAAAGTTTGAGATGTCTGTGACCTAACCTGGTTGAGAAATCCCAACAGGCGGGTCGACTCATCTACGATGTCAAAACAATTATTAGTTGGTGGTTCGAGGCGCCCGGTGAACCAGTCACATCTTCTGACCCTTCATGATTCAGCCCGTTCAAAGGAGATAATGCAGTTATGTCCGAAGTGCCCCGGTAGAGCAGTGGTTACGAACTCGCTTCGAATATCGGTTGTCGAGTATCCAAAGCAAAGGAACTGTTGACTGGTTCAGACTAGAACAAAGCCTGAGTCTAGTACTTTCACGCCTCGATGTGAATAAACCAGAATAATTGCTTTGGAACGAGATTTGTTCTGTTCAAATTAGTGATTATTGCTCAAACTGTCTTTTTTAGTAACATCCGGAAGGCTGGTCCCGAAATAGTCTGTACGAATCTCTAGACTGCCATAACATGCTAGTGACAATTCCTCTTAACGATTTAGATCGAATGCGGTAAAAAGCAGACTTTTAGTTTAGTTGCTAGTCTTAATCTCAAGTTTTGCTCAAATGTTTAATAAATCAAGTAGAAGTGCACACATCTTGTATGAACTCTTTATATTTCCACAGAATTTGTTTTGGCTATTTGAATAACTAACGACGCTCAGGAGCAATGTTCGCCCTGGAAAAATAGGCAAACCATCAATGATTGCTGTAATACCCTTCTCAGGGATTTCATGTTTCATTAAATAAATCACTTCATTTACATTGGCTCTTTGTCACTTCTCTCCTTAAACCCCATGTGCAAGCTGGTGCCTCCAGGATTTTGTTTGAAAGCTACCGTAACTGTGTTGACTCCATATTCTGAGTTCCATTATATGTTTATCAGAAGGGGTAAATATTTCACCTGAGCTTCGTTCATGAAATCACTATCATCTGGACCAGGGATTCAAAATCTGCACACTTCATCTGGTTAAAGATTACACGATTACAAGGTCACGAGTACTATGAAATTTTCCTCTCAGCAGCGAACACACCAGAATTGTCAAAAACAGTAACCTATTTCAAATATCACCCGATGTCTTGAAGGTGGAGTGTTTTCCGTTTAGGTTTGGCGTTTGAAGTGATCTTCACCCACTCTTCAATTTCCTTGACACAAAGGTCTCAGCGTGAATCATCGTCTTCAGACGGGACTGTTGTTGTGGGTACATAAATGAGGCAATTTTCAGGCTATTACTGGTGAGATACCTTGGTTGACATACAGCTAGAGGAGTGACTTTCGAATTCCGATTTATTCACAACTAAGTAAGAAGGAAAGACATCCTCTGGCTGGGCATTTAGAGGCGAGCCACAGCTTTTTTAAGCAAACAGTTATAGCCCACTTCTTGTTGCCAAACCTCCGGGTAGCTTGAAGGCCAATGGAGACACTTCAGTTCAAACTCCGAAGGTGTTCACAGTTGGGCTTAATTAGACCAAGATATAAATTGAAAAGTAACACTTCTCTGTTCGGAACTATATGCTTGCAGTGCACTAAATGACTTTAGGTAGTTCATGCAAAGTTTCATTACAACACTGGTCGTCGACTAGTCCAAGTCAAACTGAGCTTCCTAGCGGGTGTCTCTTGTCTGCCGTGGCTAACTTGAGGATCCCTCAATATATACCTTGCATTGGTGACCTATGGTTGTGCTTGGATGACCTGACGCCTAACAGGCGTGGTGTCCGAGAGTACGTCGTGAAATCGGGACATCTCATCTCTATACTTTCAGATCATGATGATTTCCTCCGCAGTAATAACAATAAATAATCCTCTGTAGAACAGTCAAGGTTTTTGAAATTCGGAATACCAGCTAACCTTTGTTTGGCCCGAAAATGTCTGCTGAAGCAGAGTTTAATCCATGCTGACATTTAAACATATTGCAAAAGCCGAGCTTGTTTAGTTTTAGCTAATTGCTAGCTTGGCCTACCTAAATACTGAGAAATGAATGAATGAATGTGACGTGATGATGTTCAGTGTTATGCAGTCAAGTCAAGTTCTGTAAGACTTCAGATCCCGGTACAGAATCGGTAAACCTACGGATCTGACTGTCAGTCATGAGCCGAGTTCTCGGATTAAAAAGTGGGCTTAGGGAAACCGGAGCTTGGTGTGCAAGGCTCAACCGTGCATCTGCAGAGCAACGATGTTGTCTTTTCTCTGGTGTAACAATGAAAGCCACGAAATACTCTAGCGGAGATTCATCTGATACCCAAACAGCTGTACGTAATATGCACTGGGCAGATACTATGGATCGGCTGAAATGAAGGGGTAATTGGTATACATTGCAGAGGCTCCTTAACAGAATGGCGACAAAAGTCCCGCGCAACCTCATGCTTTTGTTCTGACATGCTTTCGAATGGGGTAAAACTAGATGCTGATGGAGTTACTGTGTGGACAGCTGAATACGGAGTGTTGAAATGGAGCAACGTAGATGCTCGGACAGTTTGGTTGAATGCATAAGAAGGCGAATCCGAGGAGACTGAAAGCTGCAACACAAAATAGGAAGCTATTGTGGTAGACAACAAGAAATTATAAAACCGACCTTGCGATGGTGTCCAAAGTAACACTCCACGACTCTTGCCGCACTGATCGTAACAGATCAACCCATGGATAAGCATACTGAGCAAGGATGTAGTCTGGGCTTAGTATATTAGGACCGCTGGCTACTGATCCATCCAAAGTGAAGACCTTTGATTCTTTGCGGTCATCTCCATATAGACCTATGAAAAGCCTCCTAACACAGGCTGGCAGCACCAGAGTTGTCTTTTCGTCATGTCGTCCGGGTTTGACCCGCTTACGTTGCGCAGTGCTACGCTCACAACAGTGTTAGAGGTTAAATTCTGTGCGTCAAACCGGTTACTGGTTAACAATTACTGGGTACGCATATGCCCATGTGTAAACAATTGGCCACCCTTCGTACACGTTTCGAGTTTTCGTTGTCTTTAGAGGTCTACAGTATGAGTGTGCGGTGGCCTCTGGCACTGTCCTTTTTTTCAGCACCCGGTCTCGTTCGTCCCCCCCCCCCAAGATTAGGCTGAAAAAGGCTTTCAAACTGCTGCATACACAGCTGAGCGCTAAACACGTACGAGTATGCCTACCTTGTCTGGGGGTTCACCGCCTCAGTCTGAGGTGATGGGATAATCCAGAATCGGATACTAGTTCGTCATGCTGTCTTTCCCAGAGGAACAGATGACACCAGTGTCATTTGACGGCACGAAATGCTATACCAACTAGCCGTCAGGTTATTTTTTAAAGCAGTTGTATATCTACAAATGGTTTTTTCCTTGTAGTTTTAGGTTTCTATCACGTATGTCAACATCCGCCTCGGAACAAACAGTTTTCCCCAAGGAACCGTGTGCAGGTTTTCAGTATATTACCCATCACACAGCGTCGACCAGTTAATGGGAGAAACTCAGTTACGAGATTCATACCGTTAGACCGTAACTCGGCTTATGTCAAAGCAGCATCCATTACCAGCTTGGGAGGGATGTGTCGGTTCTCGATTTACCACAAAAATGCACACCCGGAACGAATGAAAGGATGTTGCAATTAAATGACCTGATTTATTGGGAGAAAGTCAGAAAAAATGTTTGTCAACTTGACTTGGTTTGACCACCAAGGACAGTTTTCACATATATGAAGATAGAGGAGGGAGAATTTTGGTGGGTATGTGTGTAAAATCTTAATTACGGTGTTCATAAATTACCGTATACATCCGACAAGTGTCATAAAAAGTGCAGTTACCGGTGTTCTCTTCTCTACCTTACAGTATTTACTTTCAAGAGGGAGGTAAACGGAAAAAGTAATACATAAAGACTGATTTGCCGAACGTCAGGTTTTATGCACATACGGTAGGCAACGGAAATTTTTGTCTTATCTTTTTTACCGGATGAATGTTAAAGAATCCGCGACGTTGAGTCATCGAACCGTTCCCTAATGAGCAAAGGTAATTAAATTTGACTACATATAAAAAGCCTGGATTGTGGTTGTTTCCAGACAACATAAACTTCAGCATCACCGTGGTTTTCCTGACGGGAAGATGATGGATGAGGAAGACATTTCTGAACTAATTACAGTGGTAGCTTTTCGAAAATCTGTGTCCCGATTATTTTCACTCAACGGTGTCTCGAAGCCTGTGAATTTGGCTCCCAGTCTGTCCGAAAATGCCCGATAAGAAAACGAAGGTGTTGATGGAGTACACTGCGCGAAAGTTTCAGTGGTGTAGGCCTCACCAGTAGTTTCTACTGCTGACAAATATCCCGTGCCGTAGCAACTCTCGTTCAGCTGCTTCCCGGTGCTCACTGTTCTACTGCGTTTGTGTTTCAACTCGTCAGATTCATTTACGGAGGGACATAGGTCGGGTCGATTGTAGTTCAGTGGTGCTTGAGTATGTTGTGTACCGAGAGTTATCACGTCTTCCTTTGGCTCTTCAACTACGGATATTTTATCTTCATCACTGTTTTCTTCCACCTCATGTGGGTACCGGACCACAGGTACGCGACGTATCGCTTTGTTGTTCAAGTTGCCATTAGGTTTTGAAGAAAGTATGAAATGTCCTGAAAATGAGAAAGGATTTTTATTCGTGGGTGTAAACAACGGCGGAGGTGCTCTGAAATGCATTTCTGATTGTCTCAAAGATGTAGCGTTCCGTGATTCTGTCAGTGGTGAGCCTGCTTGCATAGACAAATTCCCCGGGGTGGACAACAATGTTGGGTTGTCGCTGTTGATCGCTATAACAGAGGGCGTATTGAGAAGTGTAGAGGCTATGGAACGAACCACTTTCTTTTCTACTGGCCAGGCTTGTGGATTCTTTGTTGTTTCGTTTGTATCACACAGTGAACAATTTTTCAATCTCAGAGGCACACGAGTCTGTCCGAAGTGTTGAAGGTAACATGCTGCTGGAACGTGATGGAGGAATGGTCTACAGTCGACCAACGGTTGTTTGTTTGAGTTGGATGTTTCGCTTTCGGAGTTAGAAAGACAAGTAGTATGTGTCACGTCACGCTCAGCTTCTCTTAGTTCTTCAGGTTGCTCGGCTTCGTTCTCCCCTAACCTCATGCCAGTCCTAGTAAGGTACATTGACGTTGATTTGGGACTATTTCCGGTGGAACTAGATGAGTGTGCATTGCAGGACTGAGGTAAAGCGTTGTATATTCTGTGAATATTTTCGCACATAGGACTACATGCAGTTTCTGAACAACCATGGCAACTGGATCCTGGAATACTGGTGTCACCAGCGTCTTGCTCGTTTACAGCAACCGGGTTCCAGTAGTGTGGAAGCGATGTGCCGAGTTTGGTACAGGTGGTATGGACAGGTGGTTTACAGTTTGTCTTATTTAGACAGGGAGAGTCAGCTTTGAAGGTATCGTTGTTCACGACGACTGGAGTGGATGCAACGGTCAGTGCGATCCTGGGGGCTCTTTGCTGACAAGGTGCACAGAATTTGTTGTGTTGATGTGGAACATGCTTTAGTTGGTAAATACGTTTTTGGTGACCTATATACCCGATTAGGGCGATTACCAATAGCAAACAGAGCACTGAAGGAATAAGTGAAGCAAGAAGGACATAGCTGGAGTCGGCATCCGTCATGGGCCTTTCCGATTGTTGTCCGACATTTGTGCCAACTTGAAAAGACGTTTCTGTAAAGCATAATACGGGGACTTGAATTGCGTCGGTCAACTAAAAATAAAAAGCCTCGGCACTTATTCCACGAGATAATTTATAACAACAACAGTGTGATGCGGTCGCACAAGATTTATCACAAAACGAATTTCTAGAAGAAGTTGAATGCATTTCAAACCACATAAACTGTTTGACAACCAGTAAAGAGTGAAAACCATGGGTGCAAGCCACGCAGGTGTTAAGAAGTCAGACAAAGTTGTTGGACTTTCTTCAAGGACAGTATTGAAAACTAACTAACCTCTTAAAAGCTAGTGCTGTAAATAAAATGCTCTCTACCTCAGATATTTAGCCTAGGTCACACGTTAGTTGTAGAAAAGATGACAGAAGATGTGATGTAAACACTGGGATCAAAGAGTAGAGCCTTCGTTTCAGGACAAACCGACTGCATACAACCGGTAATAAGGCAAACTTAGAGGATTCATACGGATTACTTGGCCAAGTTGACCATCAGTCGGTTAAACACTGCAGTTTTTATTGATCCCAAAGGACAGTAGTGTGGTTACAAAAGACAAAGGAAAATGGCAAATTCTAGCAGTCTGTGCAAGGCCCCCCTTGATGGACGTGAGGCAGCTGGCATGGTAGTGGTAAACACCTCATGAATGAATATAGGGAAGTTGAATTCTGTTCCAAGAAACCTCAAATCCGAACGGCCTTCCATCCCTATTTAATGTCACCGTGTGATGGTGCACATCACAAATTGTTTAGGCCTAACAAGTTGCTAAAAACAGAATCACTCATTCGCAGATCAATCAAAACCGGTCGGTAATTTGATCGGAAAAGTGTGCCCTGGTCTCACCAGCTGTTAAGTGGGAGCAAACAAACCAGCGGTGAACAATTGGAAAGTTTATCCGAGTAGATTTCGAACATTGCGGATCCAGAACCGATCAGTCACACAAGAGTTTTTGCCTTATTTAGATTGTAGCTATACGTCTTGCAACATTCTGACAAGAGAGCAGAATCGAACACCAATGCTAGCGCTCCAGTAAATCGGCGTTCCTGTGGCTTGTCTTTGAGGCATCCTTTGGTAAGGCATCACTCTTCTCTAGATGTGACTCGTTTACCCACAGTTCAAGGGACAAGTTAACTTGTTATCCGGTGAGTTTTGGAATCCGTTAGACGTACAACTCTGATGCCATTCGATAATGTACAGTGTTCCTATGGTGGGTCGACCTAGCTTGAAATCATCATCATCAAAATTTGAACTACAGTTGACCCCTCTTTGGGGGTCGCCATACTAATCTCCGTCTAGGAGTGATGTATTCAAAGGGAAGATCAGATCTAATTACGAATCCAGTATTTAGCTTGCGTTACTTTGTGTTAGATTAGATTCAAAACAGCCGCGTTACTCGTTTTGTCGAAAATAACAAATAGTTAAGCAAGTACGGTAATGATTTTACGTCCCTATAGCATCGATATATTAGCCCATCTGAATAAACTCGTAAGGTGCATTGGCCTCACCTGGGATTAATTTCCTACCAAATGCAGCGTGTGACATATTTTTTGGTGTTTCAAACTCCATAATTTGACGTACTTCAACTAGTTTGGCTGAATCCGAACATCATTTGAAAATTCCCTTGTTTCGCTCATCAGTGGACCAAATTTTCTATCCACTGACGCTCTAAGAATGTCTTTTAAGGTCTGTTATCCTGATCTTTTCTGAGACTCGCATTTTGCCAATTTGTTGACCCTAACTGCTTCCTCCCTTCCACGCACCCAATGACAGTAATGACCGTTCTGTCGAAAAAAGTCCTCGTGTTTATTTTTGTTATTGAATACATTAAGTCCACCACTATGAATGTCATGTATAAATACCGCTGGCTATATTGGCCATAATTTGGTAAATTCCTTCCGTATGTCTCATTCTGATTGGGTAATGTAATTCTTCAATCGGCAGATGAAATGCGTGCAGTCCGCTTACTTCGCACCCCAGCTGTGTCGGCAGTGTAGTGCCAAGCACCCAGTCAAACACTAGACAACTGAGACACGACATCAGGAAGATTACTTCCATGACTAAAGTGCGCACGAGGCAACATCCTCAAGAGCATGAGAAATACGATACTTTCAACGAAAAAGCTTGTCTATATGAAGATAAAACCAGAATAATTATCGTCGAGAAACAAAAATTTCTCATTACGACCTCTCTCTTCAAAGGGCGGTTGGTAGTATAGCTGGGGTTACTATTTTCGGTGGTAAGATACACTCATCAGCACTAAAAAGTAGTTTGTCTTACAGCAATTTAAAAGTCCTAGCAAAGCGAGTCAATAAACACAGTGTACTCAAGTAGGCACTCGCATAAAGCTGATCACAGTATACCTGAGTTACTTTCACAGCAGTTTTTTCTCCAGCGTCAGAATACTCGACGTTATTCCACACTTTCAGGGTCTTCTGTGTGTCTCAAGAAAATCTTCACGACCTGGAAGGTCATACAGGCTAGGTTGTTCTAGCGATGGTTGCCTGTAATTTGGCCAGGTCCATAAGCTAGGCTATGTTTGCTTTCTTATATGGATTGAAAGCCGTCTGAAATATCCATTGACAGACTAAACAGGTGCAGCCGGAAGTCCAGCAGGAAAGACGTCAACATTTGCCTGGGTCCTACACCTTGGAAAATGAGCTCACTGAACGAGAAGACAACTCCATCTAGATATTCGTGATAAACAAGCACTGGATTTCCTCCGGAGTGCCTGAAAGCAAGCAAAGGTTAACTCTAAACATATTAATGTGGTCGCTTTTATCGGCCTACATTTAGATACGTGAGTGATGTCTATTGCATCCTAGTAAGTTACATCGGTACCGCTGTCAGATTCATTTGGCGCGGTGGTTCTAACTATATGCAACCTCGAATACTTTGCCCTGTGGAGCCACCCAAAAAGTGCATCAAAATGCACGCATGTTTTGGTGGTATCTGGTATCAGAGGTGCATAAGAACAAGTAAAGACAAGTAAAGTTTCTGGTCCCGATCATAATTCGCTCTTGCTACTCAGAGGGTGTGCTGAAATTCCAAAGAAAAAAATTAACAGCCATTCGGTTCAGTTAGTGATTTCTACTATGGCAATACCTGGCTCCTAGCGAGCGCTCCAAGTAACGGGCAGCAAAACTCCCTGTTCGACGCCAGTTGTTTGAGATGTGCACCGTCGGAATCTCTGAGCTTTTACGAACTTGCATAGCTTCAGTTCTCTTCCACAGAGAATTGTGGTGCTTGGTTAGTTCACCGAAGGAGAGCCTCAAGGTCGTGTAATCCTCAATAATCGACTGAACATCTCCTTTGAAGACGTTGACAACAGTGGCTTTTGAGCTATGCGCTGAGAAAAGATTCTTGGGCACTGGAGACTGTGTCGCCAATCGCACGCAGTTCATTGGGACGGAAAGCCAATTCTTTTCTCCGTTGCTAATTAACGGTGATATCCTCCAAGACGATGTTTCCGCGTTTTTCCTCCAGCTGTACATAATTTCATAAATGTCTCTGACTTTCCCACCCAGTACAGGTACAACGGTTGGTTATGAACACAACGAGCCTGCAAGACATCTGCAGTTATAAACTGTGCCGAATACAGTGATTGTTTTTCGCACCTAGGTACTTTACTTCCCCTAACAGATGCCATGAATTACAACGGCCCCTTCGATTGCCATCAACCATTGCTTTTCTATACTTCCAACTCCATAGAAGCCTCACGTTCAAGTGACTCTCTCACGGTAAGGCCATCTTTAGCACATTTCACCATTCAGCTTTTTTGCCACAAAACTGAGCAGGCTCTCTGTTTCACCCAGAGTTTTCCAAAATTTTCTTACTAATTTCACCCTTCTGTCTGCGTCTTTTTCCCACCGTCTTACGAGGAGTCCTTAGGTATGACCACTGTCCCACGGGTCTCTGAAACGAATCGAATAAATATGAACAACTGTGTTTTCAGACGTTCACTTCTCCTTCTTGAGTAGTTCAGGCGGGCGACATCCGTTCCGTTTATTCTTCCTAAGTACAAACGTCCATCTCTCGAGCTTCCACCCACATGCGGTCCAGTATCTGACTAGTGGCTTGACGCAACAACTTCACGTCTCGATTGCTACAAATGTACGCTGATAGATACTATGAGTAGTTGCATATATTTCAACACATGAAGAATTATTCAGTCCGTTTCAACTACGCATGCTGAAACCTCAATTCTATGTGCATAAAGATTCATTTTACGTCACGGAGATATTGGTCGAACGCGTTCTCCATTTCTGGAGGGATATTTAAACGCACGACTGGAGATGAAGATGGGCTCTCCTAGTACGTCAAACAAACATTCTGGCTGGACAACGCCTTTTCCTAGAGTTACTATTCTTTTTGCACATATCAGTCGTTTGAGGGCATACTAAACGATGTGAGTGACTCGGAACCCAGTAGACCGGAATGTATCAAGTTGTTATTTGGCTCAGTCACGAAGGTTTCTAGGTGAAATCAGGATTCAAAATCTTGAGGCGAAATTTCACTTCCTAATATGAATAAGTGCAGTGTTCCTTTTCTGAGGCCACTCTTTCCTACAGTGACCAATCATTTAATGACGACACTTTTGGGTGGAACTTTAAACGTCACAAAAACATATCCTAAAACATGCCGGTTCGCTACATAGATCGCGGCTTTTTACGATCCGATGATGTTGTTGGTTAGACATTTTTAGCAGCTAGGACTTTCCCTTCCTATCGGATGTGCAAAATGGCACCCCGAAAGAACAAACAGGTGACAAGCAACTTAGAAACCGTTCTCGGTATCAACTCCTGACCTGTGCAACCAGGCCAGATTTGGGACTCATTGCGGCCAGCCAATTATCAAAACAAAACATTAACCACAGCCGGTCCTTCTAAGCAGAGCTGATGTGCACATGTTCGTGCTTGCATCCAGAATGGACCGAGCTGAAGCAAACAGCCACGTAGCAGCATACTGGCTTTTGTGAGAAGACAAAACATTTGAACTTTAGTTAAAGTATCAACGTGCTAAGCTCGTTCTTAGTGGGGCCACTCCCCTAATGAGAATTATTATAGGTTTTCGAGAAGCCTAACTCCAGTACATATCGGGCCAGGCGAATTTTTAAGGAGGGGTGGGATATAAATGGCAAAGGTCATTTCCAGGGCTGACGGGCCACCGCAGTGAAGCTAGAGTTCGGGAAGTCCAGTTCCCGTTTGCTTGTTTTCTTTGATGCACTTCAGCACAACACACGTAAAGTCCTGTGGTGAAGGGTAGAAGCACGAATTTCAGAAAGGAGGAGTCCAAAATTTAAATATGACATGTTATCGTCCTCTGATTGCCGCATGATTAAATCCAATTTTCACTTAGATTGCCATTTAATCAATCTCTAAGATGAAAAACCAGGGGTATTCAAACGTTGCATATTAACAAGTTGACAGAATTCCAATTTCTGCATTTGAAGAGCTAATTCAGTTCATACTCTGACCTCTCCACTTAGAATCATACTTTCTTCCACGTTTTTCGTGGAACAAACAAGCTGCAATCTAACATTGCAAAGATAGTTTCCAGACTGCGCCCGCTGGCACGCTAGTTTGGTTACAACCTAGAAGGCCCAAAACATTCATTTTTAAGCTTCTCTCCGTTGGCCTGTAAGAGTGACTCGGTACGTATTTGTAGCACCGGACAGTCCTGAAGGCCCATTCAAGGTGCTTCGTACAGCTCTACGACTTTGGTGATCGTATGACGGACCCTAGTTCATCGGCACATATACCCCTTAGGAGTAACCATGTGTTCGACAGTATCAAGTAGAAAGTCACACGGCTCTTGTTGTGCAACTGCAAAGCTCTCTGTGCACTCAGCCAATCCAGTGCAACAAGCAGATCAATCTATACAATTTTCAGCTATCAGGGCACTTGCTGTTGCGGCAGCTTATATTTGACAGAACAGACCGGTCACCATTAAAAGATGACCAGACACATCTCAAAATATTTGATACATACAACCAGAACACGACTTCGAGACATCTGCCCACTCAGCCGACTGCAGAACATTCGCAACTCTGGCAAGCAACCGCGTGCCGCTAGGGCTGGTGCGCAGCAATTGGCTGTTGAATTTGAGGCGCAAGATGTTATCTGCAGAGGAAGTCTCGATTTATATTGCTCATCTGCCACGGCATCGTACACCTTTCCGCATGACGTACACACTTCTTACGTTTTGAACTGCACACCTGTGTATGTTTTACGCTGACGACTGTTAAAAATGAAACGATCGTAATATCTCAATATTTTTACGCTCCTACTGTTCTGAATAATTATAGCAGAGGTACTAAGTGGTCCAACTATGCTAGCAGCTGGAATGTAACATTATGTTCCGCCGCGTAATCACCTGCCCTAGAGCGACCGATCTTGCCGTTAGTTGTCTTTAAAGGGAACCACTCTATTGGATCAATGAATGTGACAGTCTTAAGCAGCAGTGGCGTGAGTCTGAGCTGAAATACCATGCCAATGGCCAAAAAATGCATTCACTGCATAGCACTGAATGACCGTGAAATGCGAACTTCATCATGCTCACCTTTTTGCTTCATTTGTGTATCATCGGCTGGCTCAACAATGGAAAATTCTTTGCCTGGCTTAATGCTTTTTTCTGTGACCCAAGTTTTGTAGCTGTCGTCTTGAACCTGATCTATCACAAAATCTCGAGTTTCCTGCTTTTTCGCTTTCTTCTCCGGCTTCTTTCTGATGATTCTCACAGGGGACACCTCGCTGGGTTTGAGCAACACTTCGTGCGCTATGGATGAAAAAGACACAATGGAATTGGAACTAACAAAACAGACATGATTCAGAATTTGTGAACAACTTGATTGCCTACCCTTGTGGGAAAGCGCAAAAGGTTATAACTCAACTGTAAAGATGACGTCGCTTTTCATCAGAAGCATTTTACGTTGTCTCCCAATATCGTCAATGAGTCAACATCTAGAAAACTTCTCATATGGACAACCTATGCTATGTAGTCTGTATGTGGTGCAACCAAACTGAAGCTCTTCAAGGAAGGACTCACAAGGAAGAAAAGAAGTAGCGGTAAATATGTTTTTCTTCTTGCACTCAGGTGGGGTTCCCTACATCTATACCCCTGAGAAAGCCTATGTTACCAAGTAAGAATAGTCCTGAAGGTAATCATTCGGGCTTTAACCACAAACTTCGATTCATCATTTCAGTTCGATCTTAAATGCAAAACATAAGATAAGCAAAGTCTCCTGTAGAAAGTGCGGTAGGGATTGGATAGCGTTTTAATAGGCACCTGTTTTCGGTTGAGTCTCCTTGAGTTTTATTGATTTGTTTTTTCCACGTTTCCCACGAATTTGTGTTTGTTCGGTGATTAGTTTCACAGATAGCTAGGAAGACGAGTTCAAAGCGCTTAAGTATGATCACTGTCCGACTAGGACAGTGGTGACCTTAGAACACTTGTGAATGCATCGTTGGTTTGCTTTGCTCAGAGTACTTTGTCAGAGGGCGCATACATCACTCAGTGCAAAACGAACATGTCCGTAGCGATTATTCGGTGCGTTAGATCCATACTCTCCTGTTAACTGAGCGAAAGACTGTGCTTACTCATCAAGTGAGTTTGAAAATATTCCAATGATCACTGTGGATAAGAAGAGAAATAATACGGTTACTGTCGTTTGGTCAAAATGCCATAATTCTGCTATTAGTACCATGAATTCGATAGAAATTTTCAAGAATTCACATCAAATGAATGCCTTGTTAATACACTGGTTTAATTTGATTCTTCACTGGCCATCAACTGCAATTACACCGTTTCCTCTGTCGCTGTGCTCCTCGAAGCCACAGATGAATTTGCAAAACCTGACAGTTTTTTGTTTTAAGGAACAACTTTTCCCTGTTGCATAAGCTTGCCTTACTGCTATTGTTGGTATCGGCTTGGAGACCTAACGGAGTAGTTCAGTAAAAGGCTATGTGATCTTCCTGGAGGATAGTAACCAAGAGGAAAACTTCAATTTGTCCATAAAACTTTCAAAACTTACGGATAATGGCAGCCAAACTGATGGATGTGTCAGTTTTTAAGAATGTTAAAAATCGGTCTCGCCACCAACAAGACGACCAGCTCGTTTTGGAGAATTCATCCCCGCGAGATATCGACCCGCACTTGAGACAAAGCTTCCTATGTTTTTATTTTGGTGCGTCCGTGTTTTGGTGTCCTGGAAACATATTCCTTTTTCTTCACTTCGTTTAAAGATCGTCGATTTCACTTGGGAATGTTTATTCCAGTGATCCGAGGCTTGGAGCCAACGCTTGTTAACGAAACACAAGTTCCAAACGAAATCTGGCCATTTTGATTGAGGTCGCAGAATGTGACCTTTGTGGTGCAACGACCGGTAGCTTGGTATGTCGAGCTGCGCATAGAGGACTTTCCAGCCTTCATAGCATGGTCAAAAACTACATGACAGCAGAGCAATTGGTCACACGCCAAATATTACAGTGCATGGGTCTTCTTCGTTCATTATCTGTGCAACTTCTGATGTAAACACCAGAAATCTCAAAAAATAGAAGGCTGGTACGTAGATTCCAATCAAATTCTAGTGTTCAGACATTGATCAGACATTGATGCACATTTTCAGACCTCATTTCAGACCACGTTTCAGCCTCACTTGCAAGCTTTTACCACACTGCTCCCACCCTGATATCGTTATTCCAGTTAACCTATATCAAAATGTGAGGCAGCAAATACTAGTTCTCTCCTTACAAAGGATCATTATATCCTGGGTTTCGAACTCCGGACATCTAATGTGTGAAGCGAGGTTTTTACCACCAATGTTTCTCAGGCCGCACCCGAATTATCCCTCTTTAATATATTTAGATTCATCCCCGTGACTGCATCCCCCAGATCTAATCAGGAAAGCTTAAATTGGCCCAAAATGAATTCACTTAATCGGACGGCAGACCTCTTACTGCTCAGCAAATTATATCGAGTACACAAAACAAGCGGCTGGGCAAAATTCTGTGAACAACCACGCGGTAACCACCATTCTCCTGCCATAACAACTGCATAGTAAAGTCAGGTCGAATAATATTTACGGGGAAAATGTTCGTTATGAACTGGAGGTGTGCCCTTTATTCCGGTGACCGTTCAGAAGTTTGGAAAACGAGACGTTGTGAAAGAAGGTGTCAACAATGACCTTCATTCACCTCAATATGTCTCGAAAAATTACTTTCTAGGCTCCCCTCTTTGCTGTTTGGCTATTTTCGAGTACTGTGGATAGAAGCATGTGCCTCAGTTTGAACGATTCATACTGATTTAATAGCAAAACAGTGAAGGCCCTTGAGTCAGTTCGGGTTTGTCTACCAAGTAATTTTGTAGGTTTTGAGTGCTGTTTGTCGATTCATTTACAAATAATTATTTTGCTTATATATTGTCAAATATCACAAACTCCTGAGAATCATGTGAACCTAAATAACAGAGCTGTGAATTGTGTTTCTATAAACACACTTACCACACGTATATTCAAGATACAAGCTTGATTTAGAGCACTGCAGTTGTTCGCTGCCCACTCTACTTGATTGCACTTCAATGCGCTGGGATCCCACGAGAGTAGGGGTGTCCTTTTGGAACGAATTCTTTTCCAATTCCTTGAGCACCATATTTGGATTAACTGTGCAGACCGTCTGACGTGTGCAGAGTGATGAGTAAAACCACGTGACGTCCTGATTGATGCATTGCACTGCCAAACAGAGCACGGATTTTCGCAACACCCAATAAATGAAGCAAACACATGGTAAAAACAACCCATTTTGGTAAAATTTGGTTCCACAGGCCACAAGTACTTATGTTAAGAGTGGAAGATTACTCTTGGTGAGTGATCATTTAGAAGAGTGAATAAGGGTACCATACAACAGATGTCAGTTCCCTCATTCAGTCAGTGGGTTATTCCGGGGCTACCACTCGTTAACAACGCCCCCGCACAAGTATCCTTCACATTACATGCTAGAAATGGGGGGTCAGGAATTGAACTGTTGCTGTAATCCGGCAGTTCGGGAGACCCAGTCGTTTCTGTCGAATTGGACTACCTCATATTTATATGTGATCATGGCACAAAGACGATTCAACTACAAACATTTATTTTCCACGTAAGGTTGTGTGAGGAGCCACTTTTGTTTAAGGCAATGTGAAAACCAGGTCTCTGAACATAGACATTTGGAGGAAGTTTGTACTCGCAGTCGCGACTCATTGCGGTCATCGAAATTTGAATGTGCTCCATTTTACACACCACTCAATGAGTGTATCAACTACACCACCGTGAAACTTATGAAGTTACTTAACATGCGAATGAACCCATATGATTGAACTCGGATCTTCAGGACACCAGCGTCCTCATGTTCTGTCGGCCGTGAAATGTCCACCGATGACCTAAGAGCCACAATTTTCCAATGAAAATTAAACAATGTCATCTGCACATTCCTTTATGTTTCAGTAGAGCACCCCACTTCCCTCAGGCTATACATTACTTTCATATTTATTGTTAGCTGCTTAAGGTGAACTATGTGTGTTGTCGTGGACAAACAGACAGAGCGAAAGTTTCACTGTCCTGGAAGATCTTTCATTTTTAGGGGGATATAGGGTGGACAAGCAATGGTGGGTTTTTTCCAAGAAAGCAGTATAACGTTAGAGAGTTGGTTTAAGAAATATGTTCATTGTTGATTGTATCATCAAACTGAGACATCCGGCTTGCGAGAGCTAGTTCAATCCGTTTGAGCGCATGATTCAACTATAAGTTACTTGTGATGTTGTGATCCATGCAAAGTCAAAATGGCACAAGAGGATACATCAGGTTTATGTCGCCTTGACAAACCGTCAATCAGTGGTCTGGGGGATTCTGCCTGAAAAAAAAACAAGCTAAGCAGTTTGCATAATTGTAACTTGTACTTTGCAATCGAAATTCGCTGTCCGGAAGTTCACAAACAGCCACCCACAAATTTGTTCGTGAGTGATTTATCGCGTTGAAAGTCATCATCCTAATAGAACGCTCTTGTATGTTGCTTTTGTCTCACTCTGGCCTGTTCAGTTGGTATGCATCGTAATTACAGCTGCTATGAACCTACCGGTTAGAAAATTCAATGTTGGGGAAGGGAGGGGCAGGGAGGCGGGGGTGCTGGGCGGTTGAGTGAAATTAACCCCTAACCACATTCGTTTTTCCGTTGCCGAATCCTCTTTGATTTTCGCAGCCACAAATGACCCACAGCCCAGACATATGTCAGGTTTACACGACTAGGAGAGCGGCGCCTGCCTCCTATGGTGGAGATGTCTGGAAATGTTCTACTCCAGTTAATTCAGTCTCGATCTGACAGGGATAGATCGAATTGGGGCGGTCTGGGTGGATGCTTCAAGTACGCAGCTGAAGAAGCCATCCAGTGATTCACCTATCTCCCCATTCGTTATAATAATGGCGTTAATCAAAATGTTGATCGTCGATGATAACGACTGTAGGACGTATGGTAAGAGGAAACAATTAGCAACGAAGCTTTTCCATACGGTAATAATTTGCTTACAAGGTAGACTAACTATACACAGTCGATGTACACCCAGTATTTGGTAGCAGTGAATTACGAAATTTTTAACTCTGGGTTATTAAACCGTTTTTGAGAATTCCTGCGCCAAATTTGGTGTAAAATGACACTTCACTGTATCGATTTGGGAATAAAATTGATACAGTTGAGAACATCACATAGTCTTGTCACAAGTTGTTACCCTTCGATCCTTTCTGATAATAATTTATTGACCCGCTTTCACAAGAGAGAAAAGTTCTAGTTGTTACTGGTGGAAGGAAGCGCGTCTTCGAGTGAGTTGCTTATTGACCAACACGGACTGAGCTGTTACAAGCTATTGGACAGGAAAACTGAAAAGGTGATTTGTGCAACAAGAGTATGAGTAATGCATTTGCATCTAAACTAAGAGAATCCCTTACGTTTTCGCTTGAAAATGTGGTTTCCCACCTGGAAGATGCAGGTAGTCCAATAGCTGTCCTGAACGAATTATCTGGAATCAGTTTTTGTCTCGGTGCGGTAAAGAACATGATGTCTCGGTGCATGTCTTGTCTTGACACGTGGATAAATTTTACCCACGTAAACCAGTCTATCACCCGCTAAACCAAAGATGATCCAAAGGGATACTTTCTTTCGTTGGAGAGGGGAGTACTTTTTTGTGGAGACTAATACAACCGAACATACACGATGTATTGGTATGAAAAATAAGCCTGCATTAATATTACGGCAATACACCAGAAATGAAGCTGAATGGAGTGCCGTCCTTTAATAGCACTTCCAACGAATTTGTGTTCCCTAAGGAAGACACTCCTTTCGCATCAAAAGAGGAAACAATCTAGTCGACCGAAGGCTGATTTCCTTACAAAAATAACTCCTGTATGGTTGCTACTCACAATACCTGGGGTTTTCATTTTGTGTAAATTGTTACCCTCACAAGTCTCATTGCCGAGTTCGACAAATTATCGCGTGTTTGTGAGTGAGAAGGAAAATTTCATCACGCCCAAAATGTATCATCTCAAGAACCCGGTATAATTCCGCATAGCAGCCCACACGCTTTAACTTGCACATTCATGCTTACGCACACAGTAATCTAGAGCAGAAAGTTGAACCGGCTATTAGGCATATGGCTCACACATCTACCCGCCTCAGCACTCTACTACACTCAAACCCAAATCTAAGTTTAATGAAGGTAATACCAGTCCCCATCCATTCACAGATTTTTCCTCTAAGCCCTATTCCGAAAAAAGATTTGCAATCCCTAAAGAAACTGAGTGATCTTTGTTAGCATTTGTTGATTGCCTCAAAAGTACACCTTCCAAATCAACTATTATGGAATTATGGGTCGACTACTCAAAATTACATCTTGATTTCCTCTCGTAAGCAAAGTTATTCTCCGCCGAAAATCTGAGGGGAACTGTAAAACTCTTCAATCCTTAGTGCATTGAAGCAGCCATACAGTTCTTCACTGCTTTTAGGTCTAGAGTGACGTTGCAGGACGAGATCTCAGAGAGAAAGTCGCAAAACCTACGCGTGTGGTCGAAACCAATTAACCAAGTCGCAGGTTCGAATTATTAAGATTTAATGCGCAGTGGTTTTACGATACTTCTAGGCCCTTCTGCATGCTTAAAATCGAGATTGGTTATTGCATCTGAACAATGCGTAGAAATTTTTGGACGTTTTTCCTATTGCACACATCATTCAGAATAGAATACTTCGCTCCATCATAGCACATGTGTTCACAGTCGACGCTGCCAGCTCCGACACACTGCACCCCACACAGGTGTTATCAATAATTTATTTATTGAAAAAGAATCAAATTTAGTTTACGAAATGTTAACTTTAATGTGGGGATATAAAACAAAACAAAGTGTGAAACGACATTAAAGATCCAAATGAGCGTATCGATAGTAAAATAGAGAACGACAATGCAGGTTACACTGTTTCATTCTTCGTTCATCGAAGTTTTTTATCTTCAGCTGCCCGGTTGCGTGTATGTAGTAGAGCGTGCGAGATGATGGATGGCTATATGATGACTATATATAATTTAGAGTGGATGAGGACGAATCCCGGAGCTTCAAGCTGATTGAAGTATACCTATTAAAAATCAGTTACAATAGTTATTCGGAAGACAATTCTGTTCCGACGTGTAGTTTATCTCTGCGTGTTGTGGGTGCAGGTATACAAGTGGCATAATTTCCAGAACATTTTAACGAAACTGGCATTTGCCAACAATGTGCACATTCTCCGTGTCCAAGGTGGATTCCATATGGCCAAGTACAATGTCAACCATGCTTATTGGGGCTCGAAGCCGACACCCCTCTCGAGTTCAGTATGACTAATTTGTGTTTATACCCTTCGCTTTGTTTACAAAAACAAATTTGAATGGTTCAGCTAGCAACTGGTGATACACACACGAGAGACCGATAGGACACGGTATGCGACTTGATGTTCACAGACCATTCTAGCATGGGCTAAAGGCCTGACGGACGTTTTATTATATGTCTACATGGGGAAATTTACGAGCATTGAAAATGTGTCCGCGCCTATTGTTGACAAAGACTTTGCCTCTTGTTTCTTTCCAAGTAAGTTATTGCCTGACCTTCTTCGGAAGCGTTGTTTATCGAAAGGGTAATGGTTCTCCTAATTCGCGTTTGTTCCACCTTCTTTCAGTGTATCTTAACTACAGAAATAAGGTTGAAGAAGTGCATCTGGAGGGACTTTGGGAAATTCTCTTCCACGTAGGTTTTGACGAATATATACCGAAAAGTATATCCGCTAATTTTTAACATCAAATATCTATAATAAAACCATATTTTATTTCCGATATTTTCGACTATGGGAAAATTTCCTTCCACGGACCATGAGCATTGGTTGTAAGGCAAAAACGCTCTTTTTGTGGAAAATGGTGATATGAATTCTTGGAGCTTGCGAGAGGCCAAATTTTACTTACCTGTCATGACTGAATAACTTTTCCAACAAAATGCTTCAATACCCTCTTGTACTAGAATTCCTCATTCCTTCAAATGACCTCCGAAAATAGACTTGAACTATCTGCTAGGGCTTATGCCCTACTGAAAGTCAAGATTCGGTTAAATTTGGTATACTAAGTTGCACAATTTGAGCTGCCAGCGACAAACAGTACTATTCTTTTTGGCTGTTCGGACGGCAGAGTTCATAGGGCGGTTCGGTGTGTAACAAGCAGTGTCTGCGGATTTCCGTTCCCACACCATTAAGACGACCAAGCCACTTTGTGTTAATCTTGCCTGACTGAGATAGAAGAAGGTACGAGGTGCGCTGTGCCTGATAATACGGATTTTAGAACCTCATTTTGATAAGCAAAATGTGCACATACAGGATTATCGAGTTGTTGGTCAAGACTTACGATACAAAACCATAGTCATAATGTTAAAAGAGTATTCCTATTTTAACAGGGGAGCTCAAGAGACTGTTTTCTATCACATTTCATCATGCAAGTACAACGATGAAATAGAGAGCCAGGTTACTGCGTTATTGGTATTAAACCAGTGGTACTATCTACCAAATGGCGGAAAGACTGACTGGTAGATTAAGACCATATCACAACTTTCACGTAGCTCTTTTACTTGCAAAGAAAGATGCCATACATCCGAATAGCAGTTGCTTCGAATATTTTAAGATTTCGCTGGCAAAAGAACTTCAGTCGATTTTAGTTACTTGCTGAACTACGCCGAACACGTCCACCTGTTTAGGCGCATTTAGGTGCATCCGTCGTGCGCTGGGGGAACAGTGTTAACAGGCTTGTCTTGCGCGCTAGATCCGGAGTTTAAACCCTTCATGACCAAGGATATACACTATTGTTGAGCTCTAATAACAGTAAAAGTAGTGCATCGTGCCCTCCCTTTTGGTTTAGGCTCACCAGAATGGCTGTCCAAAAGCGAACGATGTGGATGTGAATTCCACAACTCCTGCAACCGCCTAAAACTATGCTGAATACTCATCTGGATCATTCCGGTGATCTGATGGTCTGTGTCAGTTAAGTGACTGATGACAGCCCATGTCACGTTTTTGGCTGCTCCAGTATTTTGGTATATCAGTGAACATTCTGAGATTCTCTGAGATAATCGCTTTGTTGTTCAACGCAGTCTACAGAACATGAGCAAACAGAGTGATAAACATTAGGCTACCATAGACCAAATTCTAAGGATTCGAATTTAAAAACCAGCAACTGCTAAAGGGTATCCTTGGTTGTGCTGCATTTAAAATTTCTCTTAGACAGATTGTTTATCTGAAGCCGTGTTGCATTTAAATTTCAGCTGAATGAATATGGGACCTTTTCTTCTACTACAGGATTCTGACGGAAATTCTCCGTAACAACTGGTCCAGGTGACCAGTTCCTATAAAATTTTCCCGGATGATCTGCAGTGCGCTATCTGTTTTTCCATATGTGCGGACCCACAGTTCCACATTACCACAAACAAAATTATAGCCAGCTGATTCTTCGGTCCCATCATCTAAACCGGAAATGACGGTGATTTAGTCAAATAGACGCAATAAATGGGAATTTAGCTAATTCGGATAGGGAAGAAAGCCTATCGGAGTCAGTATAGCACCCTTTTTTCGAGACCAACTTCTTGCAAATATAGACTAAATGAAACGTCTACATCACTGATCACAAACTGCGTAAGGCGGTTCAGAAATTGAACCCAAAGTGTCCACCAAAGTCCGCTACTCGGCGAACCACTTGTGTGACGGTGAATGGGGGCTCCTTGATCAGACGTCCGCTACCTTCAAATTGCCCTTCAAATGCCCTTCAAATAGCCACTTCATCTTGTTCCTGAATGAACAACTTTCCTTGGTTTCAGTCTTCCATTCGTCATTCAGTCTTTTTTGTCACTTCAACTGTGTTTACTTTTAGAGGGTACCGCGGAATCCGACCATATTATTCGAGACGGGGCAACTCGAAACACTATGAAGCGAACCAAAGGCCAAACTAGCCTCATCTCTTCTTGGTATTGAAAGGAAACAACATGAGAATGCCGGAATAAATCTTCAGATAGTCCAGATCAAATCATTACTCATTTAGATATGAACTGCTCATACAAGTATCTAGCGCTTGGAATGCATAAAAGCAGCTGTCGATAAAATGATATCCTATGAACGTGACCTACTTCATAAAAAGTAGGCAAACGATTTCAAAGCTCCATTTGCAAAGGTCTACGAACACATCTAAATCTGCCTACTCACCTGATAAATCCTTTTTGGTACACTGGTTTTTACTGATCAAGTGGGAAACCTGCGGTTCGTCTGATATATTATGCAAAGACTTGGCTTCGAGAATCAGCAGCTTGAAAGCTGTCCCAAGAGTGGCGCAACTGATTTCAACGTAGGAATCTGCGCATATCAGTTCAGTTTGAGAGTAGGCTGAAGAGGTGATGAAAGCAAAAAAATATAGACCATGCTGTCTGTTTTGCGCGGTACATTTCAGTTTTAGAGTCACTTCATTCAAAAAAACCAGCAAGCATTGTAAAAACGCCTCATCTTTATTGGGAACGCTCATCCCATGAAACTCAAAGATATTCCAAACTCGTAACTTCTTGGCTGATAGTTGAAGACTTAAACGTTCTGTAACAAGTGGCTGATCAGCGGTGTAAATAACTCGCACCTAGTAGGAACTCATGCTGTCTGTTTTGCGCGGTACATTTCAGTTTTAGAGTCACTTCATTCAAAAAAACCAGCAAGCATTGTAAAAACGCCTCATCTTTATTGGGAACGCTCATCCCATGAAACTCAAAGATATTCCAAACTCGTAACTTCTTGGCTGATAGTTGAAGACTTAAACGTTCTGTAACAAGTGGCTGATCAGCGGTGTAAATAACTCGCACCTTAGTAGGAACTGGCGCCTCTTATCCCCGCTCTTTTGAGGTTCGTGAGATTTGCATTGCCGATAAGTCCCATCGAAGATGGAGGATCTATGTAGTGCTCCATGGGCGTTTAGCCCAGATTGTCACTAATCCTCTGAATGTCATCCCATAGTGTTGTGAGACATCTGGCACTTAGATTCGACATGACAATAGGTAAAGACTGAATGTGAGTAAGCTTTTAAAAGCTTTTTTGTCGCTAAGACCCGGTGCTCGACCACCGTGTTTGGGTATGGATCACAAGCCGTGAACAGTGATTCATGCCACGTCCCACTGCCAAACACTGGCTTGCGCAAAACCTCGAGCATCACGGGCAGGTAGTTGAATGCCCTAGACATCAGTAAATGGCTGAGGAATGTGACAAAAGTTGACTGCAACGTTGTGTGTGCGATCAAACAAAAATGAGACTAAATAACTTGGCCTGGCTACACAGTGACGAAGGTGACACCCAGTGTAATGTGTACATGCATAGCTCAATAAACCCACAAAATGGATCATGTCCTGTAGAACATTTACCGGTCACATTAATTTTTTGGTATCCCTACGTCGCAGTCGTCAACTCGAAAATAATCGGAGCATTGTCAGGAGTGCATTCTTTGTGAACATTTTAGATTTCAGTCGCTCTTCTGAATCTTCTGTATTAGAATTTTTACGATGTCTTTTCAAACCCACTCGAAAGACATTTTCCAATTTGCTACTTAAACTCCATTGCTGTTTGGTGCTATGAACCCGAAAGCCCGAACAGTTATGGGAAATTCCCATGCGGATCATCTGGGAGGGTGCAATGCCCCCTCATAGAGGACAGCCACAATGATGCCTGAAACGACAGCTGTTTAGAAAACCAAACCTATTTCAGCATAGGCCGATAAAGACTATATAGGATTTAGGAGCTTGGTGAAAATGGCAGTGGTGTTCACCCGAACAACAACTAATAACTTCAACTAGGCTGCCCACAATGTTGGTGTAGCAGCAGAACAACCACGTTCGAATAAGTTGTCTAATAGCGGGTCTTCTACGCAGACGATACACGACATCCTTAGGATGAGTTCGCATGATCGTAAGTGTAACTGCTCATATATGAACCAAGTGAGACTGCTTACGGACCCAGAGCACGCGATCTCATTTACTTTGTCCAGCATTATAACCATAGTTGTCACTGACAAAGTAGTTACGAATACAACCCCCGAAAAATATAAGATTTTATGCCCAGCAGGATGACCCTTGTAAGGAGAGCACCATATCCAGAAGTAGGAAGGTTGACGGTCGCAGAGGGATGAATGCACGTGACACCTCAGGGTGGAACTTCAATGACAAGGGAGTAAAAGTAGCAGTTCTAAGTGCCCAAACCGCCACACCGTGGAGCTCCAAGGGTCAGGTTTCAATAGATTACTGATCTGGCTGACGAAACGTTGCTTCACACTGTGATCCACTTTAACGAAAATACCATAGGCCCAAGGTAAAGCGGAATCACAAGCTCCCGAAACAAGTTTCTAAGTAATGCGACTTCCAAAATGCGGGTCTGCTAGTCTTGACAATTTAAGCGCTGGAATCTGTAAAAATAATTGGTGCGTTTATGAACTGACTTGGGCAACTGACGTCAATTTAATTTACACAGTTTGTCCTCTGTTTTAGGCTAGTTGAGTGCAGAAGAAACTTCTGGGAGGTAGAGTGACAGTAGGCCGGACTTCTCAGAGAAGGACAAGCATATTATTCGGGCTTTACTAATACTCCCTGTTTGTAACACCTGTTTGAAAGTGATCAATAGTGGTGTGAAATCCTTCTGAACACCACGCTACGACCTCAAGGGGGCAATTAAATCTGAGGGTACGCATTACCTTTCAAAGGCGATGATGGTGATTCTGTAATTGAAGCTAAATTATCTCCGCGGTACTGGCAGGTACTCCAATACATTCTGTGTGGTTGGCGCCCTCTTGAGAAGTTCATTTTGGTTAAAACCGCAAATAAGGAAAGAGCGGCTTTAGTTGGCCATTTGAAGGGAACTATGATAGAAACCTCACGCGAGAAAATCACCCATACAACAGACCATTTTCGGTCGCTCCTTTGGGGCCGCACGGTTCGGCAGTGATAACCGTAATACTACCCAAGCTCGAGTGCAGCCTCTTGGTTTCCAGGAGTACGGTGTTCACTTCAGCAAGCCTTATCACGGGCAAGTGGTTGTGTCGCACCTTCCGTAGGTGGTCAAGGTGTCACAATGTAAATCTTGAATGACGAAGAACACGGTTTCGGTCTCGCTAGTGCATCGGAAGTCTATCTGGAAGTAGGCTCGTGTGGAATCCGAGAAAACACCCTATTTGAAGCCTTAGAATTGGACAAAAGCTTTTCAGCGATATCAGAGATCCTTGATCTGCGGTACCAGTCTGCACGTACACTTCAAAAAAAATCTGCAATCATCAATTTAATATCATCTAAGTTTTTGCTCCGTTTCAAAGGCAGTTCCGTCATTGAGGGACTTTCAAACTCAGCATAGTACACCTTAAAATTCAATGCAATTTCGCTCTGTACTTTTACGTGTTCACCTCGGTTTGAAATGCCGTAATACATCCACAGAAACACACCAAAGTTATCGTGTTTCGTGAATTCGATTTCTTCTTAGCGGAAATAAACTCGAGCAAAGCTTCAAGTGCCCTGTCAAACCAGTCTCACCAATTTAAAGCCTTTTAAACAGGAAAACGGTCAGGGTCTGTGCTATTCAGATAAATATCATGTAATATCCAGTTAGTACACCGGTAAACGTTTTATCTTGGTACACTTAGACGGTTACTGACTTGGATTTGGGACACATCAAGTCCCAACATACGAATATTGTATCTTTAATGACAGGAGATATTGTGCCAAAAGGATTCCTTCACTTGTCTTTCTCAGGGTTTGCTGGAGGTTTCTTAAAAGTTCTCAGTTTAGGTGCTTACCTCACGGGTCAAAGTGGTGGTCCTGCTCGTAGAGGTTGCGCGGTTAATGAAGATGGCTTATGGCGGGAAGTATTGTACTTAGAAGGATCGCTATATACCCGCACGTCTTATGTTCTCCAAAGTTGAAAATTGCGCTCGCCTTTAGAGTACACTTTGCAAGGAAACAAGATGCGAAAGCGGTTGATGCAAGAGATATGGCGTAAAATTGACATCCGAGGTTGGGTTTCTTAGTCATCTCTATTCAGAGTTTTGAAAATGAACTGTTTTTACAAAGTTTTGTAGACTTGCTTATGGATGCGACAGGTGAACCAGTGAACAAATAGTAAGATTCAGGAGGATTATCTCCTATCATTGAGAGCCTACGTTAAATATCCAAGTGGCCTCGCATCTCTTAGTTCCAACAGTAACTCAGCTGGCTCCAGAGCACTACCTATCAACCATGACCATCTATCCAGAAGTGCACCGAAATAAGGTCAAAACCGAAGCGGGTTACTTTGTGAAAGCATAGAGACCTGGTCCGTGCATAGTGAGCTGGATTCTACATTGCGCATGGAGGTTTCACACATTACTTTTTGTCATAAATTGCACTACTGACCTAATCCCTGTGTGAACTCGCAGGGCATAAAAAAACGGATAGTGGTTGCCTCCAGATGATTCCAGTTCTCTGAGGAAAGAGAAAGGTGTTTTGACCGAGTGAAGCGTTAAACTATGATCACAATAATGTTGCTGGTTGCCAATGAGATGGAGGACGACGCGATGAAGACGAAGACGGAAGAGACGAACGAGACATGCTGGATAAAATATTGCCTAACGGAAAGTTACATAGTTAGCACATACTGATAAACGTAATATTCAATTTTTTTTAGCTCACTAACTATGAATTATCCTGACAGGATGGGTTCTTAAAGCTCTTCCCCTCAACAAACAGTGCACCAGGCATTCATCGGGGAAGATTTTTGTTGGAGTGGAGTACAACGTTAAAAACAGCACTGCGTTAAAAAACGGAAACAAAAATACCAACGAGTTAAATGAATTTCGCATACACTTTGTTGTTTATCTCAGCAAGAATGCCTGTTAGAGCTACTCTCTCTCTCTCACTTACCGGGTAAGCATGTGTAGTTCACAAACAGTGTCCTCCGATGGGGACATTCTGAAGACTGGTAAAGGCGACTGAGTTTTGATAGGATATCACATGTGTTCAAACCGTTACAAAGACTTTGTACTTCCTGAAATCGATTGAAAAATAAGAAATTTTTCAAGGGAGGGTTTTACTATCCATTGACAAGATCATTTGATGCTATAGGTGCTAGTGATTCGCAAGCTCACTGGACTACTGAGCACCAACAGGTTCCAACAGACATCCTTGCACCATTCAACGTCTGGAACTCGACACTTGTGGCGAAGCCGAGAACACGGATACTTCAAATATCAGAATCTTTCCTACTACTTCCAAGTGACTGAACTTGTGCATTACTATTCTGTGCACCATGAAAGATCATTTTCCCATCGGCATAATACGCTATTCTTAAGGCTGCTGAAATTATGTGACAGTCCACAACCGGTTTCACACTTCTTGGGGCTCATCCGATAAGCACAGCCCCGAGTTGCAGTCAATCCATGTGTTCCGCTTGTACCCAAATTGCACGAAACTGATGAAATACACTTATTTGCCTATCAGTTTGGTCTTGACAAGAGTATTACCTGAAACCCATCTGAATCTGTTGTTTATGATGTTTATGAGTCAGCCGGTTTCTGTGTGAGTACCCCGTCAAGACCAAGTTGATATGAAAATGAGTGCAATTTGCTGATAGTTCACCATTTTTTAATGTGATGTTCCCAGTTAAATTATATTACTTTATACAATGCGTTGGAGGAAAGTAAGCTTCATCCTTGACAGAAGACATTATTCTACTATTCCAAGCAATAAATTAGCACGCCACTGCTCACGGAAAAAATATGTGAATTCCATTTATTTTCGTATTTTTTTACCTATTCAGAATATTCACATCGTAATCAAAACCTCTGTGTTTACGCCAAATGCAACGGGCGAAATACTGTGAAAGAAAAGTCTTAACAGAAGTCTTAAATTACTTAGCATCCGGAAAAAACTAACAAACCTAGGTTTTTCATTGCTTGAAATTACTGTGTTATCTCCCATCGGCTGAGTTTAGTGTGCCAGCGCCAGGATATCTTACGAGAGAGCGCAATCACAAAACATTATGCGTGAATTTTATATGCTAATACAAACCTTAACCGGCGCAAAGCAACAATATTTATGGTATTAGTTCTCGCATCTCACTGCACTCGTGGTCATCCTCGGTCGTTATCTTGCACCATAACCTAGATTCTGGTGTCACCAGGTTCACACATGTGTGGCCGAGACTAATTACCTTGTTTCCGGAGTGGTACATATCACATGTCCCAGCTAACGCCAGCAACACTAATCGGTAAATGAAAGTCACTCCGCAGGCTATACAACGGTAAGCGTTGTGGATTTTGGTCTTTTCTAAACTTATTAGCACTACTAACAAAAGCGGAATTCATGATTCAAAAAGATTCCACCGTATGTTTTTCGGCTTACTATGATCTCAAAATGGCCCGCGTTGAACTCATTTTTGTGTTATTTTTCAATGATGTACCTACTTCACGCCTTTTTAGCACTTTTCAAGTGTCGTAGTTTTTATAGGTTCTACGGTGTTCATAAATAGGATATTATAAAGCTATCTTGTAGGTGAAATGTCTGTTGACTTTTCAGACCAGAGCAATTATAGTGGCTTGACGAACTCGCGCCATAATTCTTCTTACTTTTTCGGGTGGATACGCAGGCGAATTGAATTATCTGCATCAAAACAACATCACTGTTTTCAATGACGGATCTCTCTCGATATTCTAAGTTACAGGGAATCTATTCGTGCACAAGAGTTATTAGGGAGACACGATGCCCGACGCCTCAATTACATGTGATAGGACCACATGACTCTATGCTGATAAAAGTAGCTCGCTTCCAAACACAGTCTTTAATACGCCATCTAGACAATACTATTTTCGAACTGACGTCTTCCTTGCACAACGAGTGCCGTTCCAAACTCAGTGCACCGTAATGCCACGCCTTCAGTATTTCGCAATTCCATGATGTTCATTAGGACAACTGACCCACAAACGTAAACTGAATGTCATTCAGATCAGGTCGACTTCTAACGTGAATTGACGGATTGACTCATAGTTTCGGTACCTTAGTGGGAAAATTCTGGTTCACAGTCACCGGAAAAAAGATGCAATCTCGTCTGAATGGCAGGCGACTAAGATTTTCGCAGCAGGTGCTTTCCAAAATTTCGTTAAGTTGTCACATCTGCTTTGGGTGGAAAAAGTCTACTAGAAAAAATGAGGCAAAGAAGTTTAACAACGTGGATAGGGTTAAAATCATTTGACTGATATATACGTTCAAATAGAGTCCCCATAAACTAGCTACTCTGGATTGAGGCCATAGGAAAATCTGAACGCCACTCAAAATATGCTTATCTTAACTACCGATTATTTTGCACGAACTAACTTGTGAAGTCTGCCCAGGACCGAATAACTTAGCTTCTAGTGAATTAGTGCTTCAAGATGCAAGCAAATTAGACAATGAAGTGTTGCAAAGCTGTTACATTCTTTTGTGCTGCGTCTTCCACCAGGTTCTAGAAACATTCTAAGTGGCGTGAGTCCTAAATCTCGGCTGTGGTTATCTGAGGAGTGCTGTGATTGCGCTGTACTTCGGCAGGGTCTTCTGGTTGTTGCTGCCGATTGTCGAAAACGGGAAAACGGCATAGCAGAAACTTTTGAATTCTACTTCAATGGTAGAATGAAAAAGAGTTCAATGACAATCTATGAATCTACCAATAAAGTGAGACACTTTAAAGAAAATTCTTAGCAGATAAACGGTATTAACGTGTATCTGCATGGAGACTTTATTGTAGCAGAGCACCCACTAAGCATTCGTGGGTCGGACATTTTGAATAGGTTTACCTGTGTGTAATTGCATTCTGCTTCCTTCAAGTGCTTTTATTACATGTGATCCCAGCTGGCTTGTTATTTAATGGCGGTTGTCACACATTTTCAACATAATTACATTCCGCAGCTTGCGTCTTCATGACGTCTTAAGCACTGCACTGGTCCAGTCACAATGTTCAACTTCCCGGTCGACTGCTTGATCGTGTATTACTGATAAGCTCCCAGTGCGCCGAACCGCAAACAAATGCCATGAAGTCGCCCATCCAACACGTTCCTGGTTTATGTATTTTGTTTAAAGTGACTCATGGCAATTCTGGAAATCATCCAGCCATCCTTACAAACACACTATCCGACAGTCTTGATGCAACAACTTCGGTCATACTGCTTCAACTTTACAGATATCTGTAATCCGCACACACATCCCACGACAAATCAGATGAATGCTTCTTTCAGAAAGACATTTTCACCTCAGGAAACCATGGAAAATTCTTTGACAAAACAAAATTAGCTATATTTGAACTTCAAGACATTTTACGGGCACGTAGGATATGGACAGCAATGTTTTATGACAATTCTGAATATCATATCTCAAGTGACTGTTCGTGAACAAAAAAACATGAGTTTCTTTCGAAGATTCAAATGGTCTAATTATAATGTGATTACAGGAAAAGAGCCTTTAGAAACTAACACTGTCGTTTATTATTCTCTCTATGTACGAGTTCACAAAGACCTAAGGGTGTGTTTTTCAGGTCTTAATATCCGAATTTTTTAACGGCTTACATGAGGAATCTTGGCAACACAATCCAGCCAACGACAACGGTATTTTGTAGAATATACCAAATTCTCCCAGCTTAAATAAACAAAAACGGTCGTATCCACAGGACCCGAAGAGTATGCCGCATTTGTGCACTATCTAGCACTCTTTACACGATGTACCTAGGGTTTTATACAATTCCACTGGAAACTACCGTCAGGATGCACCGTTCAAATGCACAGCAGTTGTTTTGAAAGGATATCGATCGATTTTTACCAGTCACCTGAGGAATTAGAACTGCTCGCCCTAAACCTCTGAATGTAGCACCTGGGTTAGTTGGGATACATTAAGTCGTGTTGGCGGAAGTGAGGACTAAAAATGGCGGGTATTTGCAGCTAAATACATCCCACGTAGGCTACGGGCTAGTTTATTGAAACAAAGCATTTACCTATAGGTAGCACTTTTCACTTCCTGACAATTTGATGAATACGAGAGGTAATGAAAATATCACCATCACGTTCAGTAGTAAAGTGAAGGGCGATTTGGGGGATTTTAGCCCGTAATTTTGCCCAGTATCTAGTGGATAGAAAAATTCTGTCACATAAATCTGCCAATGACGATAGCGTAGTTGCAGACGAATATATGAAGGTTGAAACTCCCGTTCATATGGCATGTGGTGTATGCGTAAATAAGCATAAATCATGACAGGGTTTAGGGGTGTCACGCAAGCAAACAAGGTTAATATGTTCGTATAACTGGTATTGCAATGTTAGTCGCAGACATAACCAATCGATCTCATCATCACCAGTCTGCATGCAACAAACTTTGTTCAATTTTATGAAGCGGCAATAAACGAATCACTGTGACACTCGGTATCACATAATTGGTTGTGATATGACCACGAAAATGTCCATGGGAATAATCCCGCGGTTCAGATGAGCTGCTCTCACTGTACTTGCCAAGTGCTTAATATTTCTGTACCTTAAGTGAAACCTAGAACTTTAGATGAGCTGATATTCACTAAAGAAAATAGTGGAACATTGTGGAATACCAGTCTATTGCACTTCCCAGGGTTTCGCACTCTCACTGTAACGCCTCATCGCCTGGGTTCTGCAACATGGGGGATAAGTCAGAAGTAATGGCACGTTTATACTGGCACGCGACAAACATTTTGAAGATCACTTGTGGTTTTGAAAAGTATTTTTATGCGCAATTTGCTTCCCCTCTATAGTACTTTGTGCTACATATGAAAGTGAATAATACCAGACCTAACCGTGCATTTTCCTGTTTCGTCGCCCGTAGAAGTGCTTCACAGTTTGATTAAACTTTTTCTCAATCTCCTTGAGCAGCTTTAGCAACTCAGTGATTGAAACCTCCTATTTGTCAAGAGGGTGCACAACGTTTCAAGATGCACGTAAAATTCCCCTAAAAAATCGCATAAATGACTAATTCTCGGCATGACTATCTTGATCTTAATTAATAATCACGTTGAAAGCCACAGTTGAGCATTCTGAAGTTAACACCTACATTAGTATTTGTGCTAGGTTGCAAAATACCGTTGCATTCGCTTTTGCAGCATAATACACTTTGAAGTAATCCTAAAGACTTGTCCCTGTCTTGTGAGATAAACGTTCATGGTCTTCCTGACATTAACTTACCTTGGTTCAATTAAACATATATAAGTAAACATGTTATTGGATTACAGACAAAAATTTCCAGACAAATTTTTCTTCCGGCATTCCGATTCACAATAAGAATGAGGCAGATGCACAGTGCTGTGAACAAGGCAGCTGGCGGATAAGTAGCGCACACTGTTGATCATCTGCTCGTCGCCGAACGATATAGTGTTCAGCAACTGGCTGGGAGGTGGTTGGTTGGAATCTCCCTAGAGTTTCGTGAGATGCGACTTGCTGATCGGGTGCTATATGTGTGCAATGCCTTTCAACCGTTCGACACAGATGGATGAAATCTCCAATGAAACTATTTCAAGTGGTTTTCTAGTCGAATGGCTATCATCCACACACAAACGTGTTGCTTCGGTCCATTGTCAAGCAATGCCATTCCAAAAGTTAAGTTGATCATATGCTTTGTCGCAGCCAGGTTTATTTCGGCTGCATGAATTCGGAACAAAGCTAGAACCTAGGGACCATATGGTGGGATTTAGCATGGTAACATTTGTTGTCCTGTAATGTTTTGATGTTCTAAGGAAAAATATATAAATCTTACTTCAAAAGAACGTGATCGGACGACTCTTCGTCTGGGTGGGCTTAGCAAAATTTACTTCTTCAAGTAAGGCATCAGCAACTTATATCGAGAGCAAAATCGTCTGAAAAGCACTTACAGACTTCACATCACCTGAACTACATTGAAAATTGCGCAGCGGTTCCTTCTTTTGGGCAACAAACATATCATGTTTGTTTGCTTTGGCCGATTCCTCATCTTCGGATAACAAACAAGGCTCATCCGGATGGGACGTGTGACCCAGTTGGACACTCTGGATGTGCAACAACGCGCCAGAAGGACATTGAAGCATGGACCCTCGCCCGTAAACGTTTTCATTCAGTCTGTCCTGGGAACCAGGTAAACATCCAAATAGCTCCACGAAACGTAGCTCTTGAAGAATAGCTAAACAAGTGTGAACGAATAAAATTCACGAATGCACATTAAAAGTGGCGACATAGTTCATGGGGTAGAAGAGAAATTGCAATGAATTACCACCTCATCTCAAAGAATGTTCATGCGTTTTGGATTGTTCGAAATGAATTAGGACAGAATGCTCATCGATGTCTACTGAACAGCCTTATGTAGGCGAAGCAGCAAACAGGCCGCAGGCTTACTGGGCGATCAACGGCTTTCCGTAGGCGGTCAATGGAGCACAGAGTAACGTGTTGCCTACCCGATGACTTTCGACTGACTGATTTATCAACAAGTAGCAGCCTTAGAAATTGAAATGTTTACTTGGTTAATATTGTGCCCAATCAGACTGCTGTTAAGTTGAACAAAAATGTTCGCTTTTTCTCTACTACATCTGGCCACTACTTTTGCAAAAATATCATGTTTCAGCAACAAATATCACAGTTCATGAATGCTGCGTAATGCTTCGTTGGTAAATGGAGCAAATCCTGCAAACCGCTGGGAGCAATGTCAATGGTAAAATAAATATTTTCAAGCGGGTTATGTAGCTTTGTATTGCACTGCTCATAAGGTTGCTGAAAATTCGTCGGTTATGTACCCTTCATTTGCGGTGCACAAATATGTGGTAACAATATCCTTATCGTAAATATAAGATGAAGGCAGTAATGTTAAAACGATAGCCCACCGTTTTGCAAAGGATTCCATACTGTCATCAGATGAAAGCAGATTCTCAACCTTAGCATCACTAACATGCAAAATCACTTATAAATAGCCAGATATTCTTTAAAATATGGATGTCTGAGGGAAAGATCGGAACGAATATAGGTCTTTCAAAAGAAGGTTCATATTCCGCGGAATCAGCCATGGTTTTGTTTGACTACCGAATGGCTTTTGATCCAAATATTCAATTTCGTAAGAAAATCTGCTGTCTGTCTACATTTCAAATCATGTTGGATGTATTCTTACCCTTTTTGAACATACTTGAGGGCCAGAGGGAAATAAATACCAGATGCTATCGAGAACCACTTGTTGCGAATTTTAATTAACCAAAGCTAGTATTGTGCCCCTCATACCACTGTCTCGAAATCGGTATGCTGTTGCTTGACACCACTTTATCGTTCATCCTTTGGACCTTTTGATTTGTTGTCCTTAGCATCACGTAAAGAACACCAATTACTGACAACACAATTCAATTATCATTTATTTTTGAAGAGCATGGTCACAAACATAAAAAGGAGTGCAAGCCGATGAATGCGAAAGAGTAACAGGAGAATATGGGAGAAAAGAGAGAAACATCTCATTCGAAATTATCCCAAGGGCAGTGCCAGTCTGATGACGTGAATCCCACACTATGTAAAGATTTTGGTATGGGAACACGCGTCTAAAGACCAACAACCAAAGAAAGAACAAACAATGGTGAATGCTCTTCAAGGCGCAGTGTGCGCTAGCACAGTCAAGACTCGCACATCAGGCACAAAGTGACCGTCATACTGGGTCTGGTGTGAGATTAAATGGCAAAAATGTACCTTCAACGCCATGTGCCACGCATAAAAGTGTCATAAGTACGCAGGGAGCCCACAACGGCAAGCAAACACAAGTCACTGACTGCGACCTTAGGAAGTCCCAGTCCAATAAGAGCCTTAGCGGATTGAAAAAAGCAGATCCCTGTTACAAGCTGGGATGGGACTAAAATAACTTGCTGATACCTCATTGCTTACTGGGCTCAAATTGCCTGAGTGTTTAATGTCTATCCATCTTGCAGTTAGAGGCCACTTGATGAGAGCCATTAATTAGCTCGCGTTTAAAGCCAGACCATGATGAAGGCATGATGATGATTTGCTCATATCAAATTTTTATAGCTTGTGTTTGTGTATACAGAGGCTTGCATGAACATCGGGGTTAGAATAAACCACTGAACATTTTCTACCGCGATTGACGTGGCTAGAAAATTGGGCTGGCATGATCTATGGATGTGACTTCAGGCAACAGCGCAGGAAACTTGTTGTGGATTCATTATTTTTTAATCTCATCTCAACAAATACAGTGAGGGTATTTGTGAGACGAACAATCTTTCGATGTCGGTTTTCGACTCAGCCAAAAGATTCCCGCTTCGCCCCCGAGGGACAGGATCTTATTACTCCTCATTAATTGTTCATTTGAAGACCAGGATCTCAAGCTCCACTTGTAAGCCCTTGTTGGGCCACAGATCCATCAATAACTTGTTTTTAGAGTTAAATGGGAAAGGAAAGATCAGCTGCCGTTGAGCACACTCTGTGGCACATATCTCAATGACGCATCAGTCACAGACCCTTTGTAGAGGAAGTTCAACCGTGAGACTAGTTTAGTAGTAGAGCAGTAGACCTCAAGCTGGTAAGAGCAAAACTAGTGACCATACCAAATAATGTTTGAAATTCTTTAGTCCAGGAGAATGGCCAGCACGGACAAAATTTCCGCATTTTCCGGTATGTTTTGGAAGGTTTGCCGCTTTGCTTATCAACTCAGTGGTGAAGTTCTTCGGGCCACGACGTGGTGGCTTTTTCAGGGAGAGGTTTATATTCAGATGTTATATATATATATATATATATGTTAAATTTTGAGTCGTTGGGACAGTGGTCATAAATAAGACTGGCGCTTTCGAAGAAAAACGTTTGTGATTATTTCCAAAAAATCCTGAAGCTTTATTCAGTTAGGTGTAGCTATGATCCTAAAATTCCACAGTATTAGGTTGCATGTAGGCGTTGAATACGCTTCTTACCATGATACGCTTGAAGAAGGGTTGAGATCCCGGCTTATTTTTCTAAGATCGCTGCTCATCCATAATAAGTAACTAACTTATTGTCGTATCAATCCATAATCCTTGTCAATCTCCTCCGGCTTATGCCTGGACAGAGAAAGCTTTAATTTTACTCACGCATCTCCCTGTGGTCGATAATTGATTCCTCATCGCACAAGACATTACATCACAGACAGACAAAGGTATTCTGTTTGCAATTCATTTGTTTTGCCATATTGATAGTCCAGAATGCCCTTGTTCTTGGCTTTCTTCATTAGTTCGCGAGGTGTGTTGCTCCATCTATTCCACCTTGTCCATTTGCTCTCTTCATTTAGCTCAGGTTGAGCACGGGTAGTTTTCGTCTTCCTCTGTTGAAGGTCTAGAAGGGGTTGCCTTGTTTCTCAGGAAGTGTGGAAATCAGGTAGCTTATTCAGATTGGATACTCCGGCTATCAGTTTACTACTGACATGGTAGTATTGACAGCTGGTGCTAACGGAGGACCAATTCGTGGGATCCCCCAGGGGTTTAGGTACGACAGCACTTTAGTACTCACAAAACACTCCAATTCGCACAGTACTTGATGTTTTTCATCTAAGTATGAGTTAACCATTCTACTAATAAGCCTCTCGTGATCGAATGGTTAACCGTTCAAACTACCGGCCGAGAGGTGGCGGGTTCGAAACTCCATGGAGTTTCGTGCAATAGGCATTGTTGGTGACTAAAAAAGAATAAAACAGCTGCACAGCCAGCCTCTTGAGCATAGACTAACTCCGTCTACAGGATGCGATCTTAATTAAAAATTTCTGCTAAATTTTGACCGTATCCACCCAAATCATTTTTTTTAATTTTTCCCTTTCTTTTCTACACGAGTGTAGTGAATATTGATCGGGTGCTAAGGCTAGCATTTTCTTACTATTTCAAGGAAGTAAACAGTGCATCGTGTTAAGGAAACCACCATATTTCGAAAATACGTATGCCCCATTGGTTGTGACTGGTATGAACGAGCATATGAATGTACCACTGAAGGTGCTGTTACAGGGTTGTTTCTTTGGGAGAACTAGTTTACATTTATTCAAACCAAATCTGCCACTGAGCAAATGTGAGTCGTGAAACAAAAAAAACACGGTTGTGGGACTAGTCCATTCTGTACTCATTCTTGAGCTACAAGACTTTCGACGCAGTGAAGTAGCCTGAACTTATCAAAGAACCGTGATTTTTCCCAAAATTCATAACTGGTTGGGCATGAACTAAATTCGATCGAGTCTTAGAAACCACAAGGCCAGATGCAGACCAGCGCGCTGAGTGATTTTTCTGCCTAAATAAATAAATTTGTCGGTCAGATCGACTGCAACGCATTACGATTTGACGCGCTGAACACATGTTTGTTACTTGCACCTTATAGTTCATTTGTTTGTCTTGAAGCAGCTGAAACTGTTGAATGAACCAGGGAATACTCAAAAGTACCTCAAATAACTTTGGACTTCTAGCAAATTGAATGATTTGACTTAACGCACATTCCATGGTAATTCAGAACTATCTAACTTATTTAAAAATGGTAATATCGGAAGAAGGCGTGACACGAATGTGAGTACCAGAATGCCACTCGAATTAATATGAATAAACATAAGTTCACTTACATATTCGGTTGTTGTGCTTCAGTATTCTTGAATGCATACATTCCACCGTTGTTTTCAGAAGGTAATAAATGTTTAAAAAGTAATATATCCACTGATGGATGATCATCAAGTAAGTCGTAGATACACCACTGGGATAAATCGAAATATGAATGCAGTTTCAGCTATTTGCTAGATGGCAAGTATACCCCATTTCGAACATTTTGGTTCGCTCGTTTGTGTGGCACGCTCGACCAACTGCGTGACGGGAATCGACATCCTATGGTTTACCGGTACGAACGATAGTGATCTGGCGACCGCGCAGTAGTAGGCAGCCTTTTATTTCGATAGGACTGTACACACCGCATCCTAAAAAATAAAGGATGCATGTGGTATGTGCGTATTCCGCTTCGGACCATGCATCTCAGAACGAATAGCAGGCAATTTCGCATACACGTTCAACGTCAATCCCTACTAATACGTACGCTGTAAAGTTTGGGTATATATATATATATATATATATATCCGTACATATTTAGGGTGAGACAGGTCAATAAATCTCAACAAATTGCCGAATAATAACGTCTTTGCCAGTGTTTTCTTCCATTAGAAGCTAAAGTGCACTGATGCCAAAGGGAAGACAGAAGCTCTTGAGCCAGACGTGACTTTTCGCTTGCCAAACGAGAGCTCAACTTGCTGTGCTTTTGCATTCGGGTTGAGAAATCAAGTCACTGTGGGCATCGACAAATACACTCATTTGCATACCAATTTGGTTTTGACGGGAGGCTCGCCAGGACCACAGCTGAATGTCTCGTCGGTTCTGTTCAGGGAAGTCAATCATCAATGCAACGAGAAATGACAGCGCATTTCTTTTCCATTGATACTTAGTTCTTTCATTTGCACCATGCATGCTGGTGTTCATTATCAGGCATATCGAGATTTAATTCTCATCCCTTTCTCAGCATCAAGAGGATTAGACGGACATTGTTTCCAGAAGATGTGTTCAAGACTCTGTCCGGAGTAAATTCTAAATCACTTTCCATTCACAAAAGCTTGTAACCTGCCTACAAAGAGTCCACTTGCGGTTTTCAGTTTAAGGTGCTAAATACAATCATCTCCGCCTGCAAAAACACTTTAGCACTTGCCTTGAATGTTTGATGTACAACTGGATGTGACGTTGTGGACTTTTAGTTATTCTTCGCCCAATAGACTGATTTTTGCGAGTCCGAATATATGAGATGCGCACTGCTGATATACAATTGTAAAATGTTCCTCGGATTTTTAGCATAGATCAGCTACGTTAAGAGTACCAAGTCTTGATTGAACAATTCCCAAATAGCCTCACATTAAAAAAACAAGGAGTTTAGAAGGAATTTTAATTCACATGAGTTAAACTTCTACCTGTTAAGTAATCCGCCGTGGGGTCAGTCAGTACGTGACCAAGCGATGCAAATCACATGACTGAAGAGTGTGGCACGATGTTCTGTCTAGTTGGGAGTTACTCACACCGCTGCTCAGCGACTTACAACTAAACAGTGGGGTCTTACTAGCCGGGGTTTACAGGTGCAAGTCCCCTTGGCAGTTCGTGATTTCCATACCGCCACTGATCTCTAATAAAGGATAACATTGTGCTTCTCGACCTTTCGACACAGATTAACTTAACTTACAGGAGAAAATCTCCAAAAATAAATACTATTAGCATAATATGCTAATTGCAGAGACCAGCTGGCAGACTTAGAACAAGGCTAAAGTCGAATTTTTCGGTCAAAATTTGACGGCTTATTGATAGGTTTCAACAGAATTTGCAAGGAGTCCTTGTAAAGGTAAACTGAATGTCAAGAAGGAATATCTAGCGATAACATGACTTCTGGAAGATAGTGGCCAAGAAGCGAACATGGTAAAACCACAATCGACTGGCCGCTTTCATCATATTTGAATCCGGGACAAAGAGGACGATCCAAATCACTCACCGTACGTTGACTTCATGATCAGGAGTGAGCTATATTCTCATTGTGATGATTCTATAGAAACCCGACCAACAACTGACAGCAGAAATTCAAGGTAATTACCAGACGTTTTGATTGCAATTAGCGTTCCGAATCCATATATAGCCCTAATTTTTTCTGGTGAATACAAAAAAGTAACTTTAAGAAATTTGCAGAACTTTGGTGTGATATTTCAGGGTTGGACTAATTCGAACCGACATCTTACGCCAACAGATCAAAATTGGCTGTCCGTCCCGAAGGAATTTGATAATTGAGGAATGCATGATACGTGAGACTTCCCGCCCGATGTCAGCGTGTTATTGCTAAACCGCGCCTTGGTTAGAGTGGACCACCCCTAATTACATTAAGGATGGAAGTCTGAAAAATTTTGTAAATCCTTTTCAGCAGTCCGTAAAGGGAATAGAAGAATCGTTCTGAGGATGACAAAAACCATTAGGAGGCAACCTCTAGAGGTTAGCGAATAATAACTGAGTAGTGGGGCACGAAAACAAATCCAGACGGTATGCATCAAACCTATACTACCTTATTCTGATTAGACCAGTTAATTGAAAATACGGCAAAGTTCGCAACAGGAATACTCGTATTGCAACTTCCACTTACACGATGCACTTCTGATGTGCCAGGACAATATGTTTGGTTGTAAAATTTATGGATAAAATTTCCGCCGCGAATGTTTCCTACTACTCCCCAAGCCATTGTTTCATCTGACATCCTCGTGGGACAATTAGTACATACGGCACCTCGGCTTAAGGGCCAATTATCGTGTAGATTGTACTAACCTAAATGTTCATTTCTGTACATATGTATGTGTGTATGTAGCCGTCTATCTATCTGAATCAAGGTACGCTTGAATTTGGAACCGATACGCACGTTTTCGTCTGGAACGCAATGTAAGGTCTTTAACCCGGTCGCCCCGAAACCTAGGTTTCCTCACTCTACAAGAAACTTTGAATCTTATGATTTTGTGATTGCTAATCATAAACGCATGATGGGATCACGTATCATAATGAATCTCCAACTCTATTTTCTCTTCAGTGTTTTGCGTTGTTCTGGTCGGTTCAATTCTGAGATACGGTATTCCTCGGGTACTGAACTCAAACTGGGGAAGGTCCGGCCCACTTAGATGGTATATTGTAGTGAAATGCAATTAAGTGCTTACAGATCATTCATTAGGTACGCTCTGTTGTAGTCCCATGATTGTGAAACAAGTAAGTTGCTGATAACCTAAAATCGGATCGAAGCTCTTTCTCTATTTGCATAATCTCAAAGTCACAAGAGTTGAATGATTCCGAGTGTATTTCGTGCTACTGCTCTATCAGCTTATTAAGAGAAAGTGCTGCCACTGGCAAACAGCTCCTTTCCACGTCTAATAATGGAGTCATTGGACGACGTTACAAACATTAATTACCTTCATGACGAGAAAAACTCAGACTGGCGCCTTGTAAAGTAAGTTAAAGAACCGACTGTAAATTTCTAAACTTTGTCTGAGACAAGAAAGCAAGCTAGCCAGACTAAACTACCTGCTTAAGCTATTAAATTTATTGGAACCATGAAATTTTTTAAAGCCAGGTAGATTCCTACTGAGCAATAAAGGAGAAGCGAAAAGTTGTTGGACTTTGGTTTCACCGCTATAGAACTTCTTGGTGTGACCTAGAGGAACATACTCCTGCGTAGAGAATGTTCAGTCTACCAATGAGAGGAGAAAAACCTTCGCTGCGGGTTATTCATTGGGAAATGCCAACTGACCGGTTACAGACTATTAGACAGGGAAGCAAAACTCTCATTTGCATCTTATTTACAAAAACTGGACACCCATCTTCTCCTGAAAGCGTCTTCTTGAACTTTTCTGGATATTCATTGACTCCAATCATCAATCGCTCAAATCCAAGCAAATGGTACGAAGACTCCACAAATTCCGCAACAGATCTCCCCTTTTCAAAAGACGCAAAGCGAAATTCCACGAACAATACATACTACTCACGTGCCTCCCCATCAGTAGTATCACCGTTACACCATTCGTGCTTCCACTCTAGAAACTAGGACGTCTTGCTGTTCTGTTTTGTATTGAATAAAAAAAACAACTATAGAAAGAAGGCAAACAAACATCCTTTAACTTCACGAACCGAACGTTTGTTTGTTTAGCACAAAATGAAGTACGCAGAAGTGTGAAGTTGTTAAATGGTTACTTCGAAATATACGTTGTTGTGGGCATTTTGAATCCTGAACTACTTCCAGCTACACACACTGTGGGAAAGTTCACTCTAGAATGGCTGGCTCAAGTTGGAGGCTTAGATGTCTTTAGTTTGACAGAAAACACTACTCAAGTAATGAGAGATTCTGTGTTGCGAACCCGATGTGAAACTTGTGCAAGCCTCTAGGTACTCAGCTCTTCTTCATTATCATCACTACGAACATCATAACATCGGGGTCCGGTACGGATGCTTTGTTGCCGCACAACCATAAATTTTTGAAAACCTCTTTGTAAAGAGGAGAACAAAAGTGGATGGGGAACTGACTTAGTGCTAGCCTGCCACAATCATTTGAAGGTATCTACATCTCTAAACAATCAATCAGGTACTCCGGATGGAAAATGTCAAAAATAGTGCCATTGAATTCCCTTACCAAACAGATCGTCCTCAACCAGGTGCAGTGCGGAAGACGTGGTCTCCATCCTGGAAGGTGAGTAGCACCGACAGTACCCAAACTTTTCGTGATTTCTTTCATACGGCTCTGCCAGGTCAAGTGTCGGTCACCTCTCTGCTTCCGCCACTCTGGATTGGCTAGGGAAAACAGCACTCTCTTCGGCAAACAGCGGTTAGCATGCATAATACATGGACTAACTAACGCAGCTTCTGGTGATGGACACACTTTTAACTGAAAGTCCTCGTTGCACAACCGAAAATTCTCATTCTAACTGCCGCACTACGGATTCCCCGACACCTACCCACCAACCGTCACGAGTTATGGCCCTAAGACAATGACTGTCGAGCACCACAAGACGTCTCAGCTTCGTTGCTCTGACACACCAGGTCCCACATTCATACAATAAAACAGGTCGCTCTGTAACCTGATACACACATCTCTTGTGATTCAGGGATATAGCGCTTTGACGTCATAGTTGTCTCAGATTGGAAAACACCAACCGAGCTTTGTGGATTCGTGCACTGATCCCATCCACGAGGAGGTGGTTCAGCTCGCCGACAGTCAACACTAATACTACTTCCAAGACATGGAAAACTCTACACACACCTTCGAGTGCCTCTTTAAGTCACGTATCTGGTGACCGCATGTCCAGGAGCATGACCTTTCAATTATGGGTACGAAGTGCTCGCGAAAGAGGTGGACGACTTTGGCCAATTCATCCAAAAAACACTGCACCTTCTCGTATTTCGAAGATGAGAACAATATCGTCTGCATATTCTAGTCCAACAAGGCTTTCCTTAGCATATATTAAACACCAAGGTTGCGATGACTTTCCGGCTTCCGTTTCATCCTCTCGTTGATAACGAACTTAAATAGGAACGGAGTGAGAGTACACCCTGAGGAACACCACCTTATGTATGGGAGCTCCTGGAGAGCTCTACGCATAATCTCACTTTTCCGAAAGTCTGAGAATTCAAAGAAATTATGTCCACAACTGCCGGGGCATTGCTTGATAGGCGAGCGTGTCAAGGGAAACAGATTGGTCAACGGAGTCGAGCGCGCCCTGGAAATCCAGGAATACCAAAAACTGCGGGTCGTTCGTGCGTATGGCGTTGTTCTAGCACCTAACAAATTGTAAAGATCTGGTTCCAGGCCGAAATCCCGCTTTCCGCTCTGGAGTCAGTTTTTCGATTCCCACTACAAGCAAGGGAAAAGGAGTAACACCAAGAGTCTCGTTACGACGGTACCAAGTTAACCGCCCTAAAATTACCGCATTCACTGCAAGCCAGTTTTTTTTAAATGGGTACCATCGCCAACTCTCCACACGTGTCTCAGACATTCTTGTTTTTCCGAAACGCAGGAAAATTGCTCAGACAAGCGTTGACTAAGGACTTGATCCTCATCGTTGAAGAATGCGGGTGTGGTGTTATGCGGACCAGGAGCCTCGTGGTGCCTGAGAGAATATATGCAGTCATAAACTCCTGAGGCCATAGTGGTTTTCACGTTCACCTCCCAGGGTTCTAAGAAGGCTGTATGCTCCAGATGACTTCCCAACGGCCGAGGCGTTCTCCTTTAATCGAGTGGTCACGGTACTCTAGTCCTCGATATGTATGCTCACAGGTGACCTCCGGGTACCGATCTCACGGAAAGTCTGCAACAATCGTCAACCATGTCAGTCTTTCTGAGTCCATTCTATTTCCTTGATCTTCCGAATTCACTAGGCTTCACTGTTGGTGAATGCACACGCATACTTTCACCGAACCCTTGAGGCGAAACTATGTTCAACACTGGTGGATACACTTCTCCAAGATTCAAGCAGTACCATTGTTGTCTGATATCCATTGCTTAAGTGGGCATGGTAGCGCCGTGACACAGGCAAATCTCCGAGCACTGTGCAAAGAGGTGGCAATCTCGTTCCAACCTGAATTCTCAGTTGGTATTTGAGAGGTTGGGAATGACTCCAGAAGATCATGCCAATCTCGTCTAACATCCAACTATGTCAGTCGCTTAGTTGCCGAGCTATTTTCCCGTACCTTATGTGGCCCTGAAAAAATGAAGGGAGAAGCGATTCCGGATGACTGCGTGGTCAGAATCGACAAATGTGTTCCAAAACAACCGACAGCTGTTTATTACTCCGCACCATCAGTAAGTGATGACCATTGGATCGTTTTGAGTTCGTAGCGGGCTCGTCGTTGGAGGACATCATGCGACCAGAAGAATTCGGCTGTTTCGGAATTTAGTACTGCATAAAAGCAGTCTGTGGTCAGCGCATATCAGAAGCAATTGTTCATCAGTGTCTGTACGTACCAAGTCCAATTAATACTGACCACATGATTGGGTCTGAGGTGTGCTGAGCCTAATCTTGATGCTCTTTCAGATCATGGTATTTAGCTCACCGCAACAGGACATTCCGGGCATCATAAGACTCGTTTTGGATGGTATCTGAGCTGCGTCGTTTGGAGCGTAAGTAGACGCAACACACGGGAATCTATCAACTTCCCGCTTGTGAGAATCCTTCACAGAGTTTGCCAGACGAAAGGCACAGATGTGACTATCAGTCGGTATCCAGTCAATCGAGGATCCTTCCGCTCGGTGCCTAGGGCCGATACCAACCCCTTCATATCCCACCGCAGTGGCCTTTTAATCTTCAGAGGTGCGTAGTCTGAAGTGAATGGAGAGTGAGGGGGCTGGTAGCTCAACCACTGTGCTTGCATCTTTAATCCTTTTTTCTGAAAAACAGCACACATCATTGTCAAACAAAACCAGTGTGAGAGCGAATGCAGCTTGTTGTCCTGATTGTGAACATTAAAAGCGGTTAGTTATACTGAGTGTTGAGGCTTCAGAATTGATTTCGAGGTGTCCGAGGATGACGCACTGATGCTGCCGTCAAAACCAATGCAGAACGAACGGACTCACCAATTCGAACTGACGGGCCTACAAGGAGAAAGTTGCTATTGGGGGGAGGGGAGGGGAGAGAGAAGTTTGTGAAAGAGACAGAGGGGAGGCGACATTAATGGTATGTTTTCGCTAAATCGCTCTGCGAAATGCAGCAAGTAGGGCGATTCCACTTATGGCACCATGCAATGACCGATTTGGAATGAGTTTATTTGATTATGCAATTCATGGTTGTACGTGGACTGGGATACTGTCAGGTCGCCTACACCTGGAAGGAAGGACAAATATGGTCCACGACCAAGGACTTTGGATAAAATGGCCGACTGTAAGGTAGTGGCGTTTGGTGGAAAATGCAAACGCGTTATCATTTTCATGGAACATATCTTTACATGTGTACCAGCTGCAAGCCAGAGGGTCAGGAGACTGTGTTCCGCAGACCTCCAACCATTGACCAACCTAGTGTGAGAGACTGTATGAGTGTCGAATGGACAACTCACCAGTATACCTCAGTGAGTCCCAGAGGCTAAAAAACTGCCACACCACGGTAAGGGCCAATCTCTTCGTGACGGAATTCGCTACCTCAGAATTAAATGGATCAGAACAACACTAACAACTGAAGGAAAAATGAGGTTGAAGATTCTTTATTTTAAGTGAGCTCGCCTTATTCTCGTGAACAGCAATCAAGTGATCATGGGATCCAAGGTTTTCATAGTAATGTGAGGGGATTTGATCACATTCAGCAGAGGTTTCATCATGCCAGGAAAGCCAGTCTATGTTGAAAAGTCGAGAAGCACCGTACGGTTGTTGAGAGTCATCATTTCACAAAACTCAGAAGTCTTTATCCGGCCAGTGGTTAAAAACGTAGCCGTTTCGCAGAGTTCATAATCACCAGTGTGACTACCTCTCCTTAAGAGAGGACAGTGTCACTCATCCGTCAATGACGGATAACCTTGAGTGGCGACTTCTCAGGAGGAAGTTCCACGGTCCCATGAAATTATTCTTCCCCTGAGCTGCTTATTGTTTCGTAGTAATGTGAGGTGATCTGGTCACATTTTGTAGTTTTCAAGGTTCCTTATGAAGCAAGCAAGCCTTGATTTCAGGACGACCGGGTTGAGGACCTTAAACGGCTTTTCGGACAAAAACGTACGTGTCGGTTACAAAATGCAACCGTGGTTTTACACAAAGTTTTAAGCATATAAGTGCTTGCATCCATACATACATACGAATATATATATATATATATATATATATATGCTTGCAAGTGCAAGTAGGGTGTTTTTACCTGGGTCCCATATAAACGTCAGAGGTCAGCACCATGAAACCCATTAGGAAAGAACTGAAACAGTCAAACTGACCCAAAATTTAGGCCACACAGTTAACGATTCAAATAAGCAACATTCCCCCCGCTTTCTTCCTGCTACCGGTCATCATTGTGGAAACCAGATGTATCTGAACAGTCGTTTCCAGTGAAGAAGTTTAGAAACTAATTCAGAATTAAGGATTCAATTCGTCCGAGTTGGACAGGTATAAGACATTATGGACCGCACTCTGCCATTCATCCACAAGTATATGACTTGTTGATATTTTTTTGAAACAAGTCTCTTTGGTTTCAGTGCACAAATTTTGAGCCCGTGGAAATTAATATCCTGTAGTTTTTTTTAATCATATTCTATTTTGAAGTGTTCGACTGCCGCTTGTGGTGCTAAAAATTGAAAGAACGAAGATTTTTGCCTGAAAAACGTAAACTTTTGAACTCTTCTCGAACCGGCTTGGATGTATCCATATACTCTTTGAACATGAAGTATCACCACCATCTTTTTGATGCTTCATGCTAATTTCACCTCCATCCTGAAATATTATATTGAAAAGTGGAGCGGGTATTTAGCACAAAACGGAACAAACTCAGCTGAGTTCTGGAAACTTACATTTATCGATTACATCGGTGAATACCGTGAGTATAAGACCGAACCTGCTAAGGCACTTACATCCACATTTTGCGCAAGTTCACATGTTCGAAGTCGTATTGAAAGGGGTTCAGTCCTTTCCAATTGGCTCGCTTGTTTTCCAGCATTGTAACGAATTGCGTCCTTATACTACTCACGTCTGCTTACCCAAGCGTACTTTTTGCCGTCTTGTTGAAGACTACGCCTTGCCTTGGGTTGAAATGTAGGTTACATTACTTAGAACCTACCTGAAGGCCAAGTTGGAATCAGAATGCACTCAATTTCAAAATCAATCAATCTCTGAAGAACTTCATTTTTCTGGATTCTGTTACTCCATGTGGTCCAGTGTGCTTTAGGCAAATAGGTCAGATTAATTCAGTCAAGAAACCGAACATAGAGTATGTAAAGCATCTAGATCTCACTGCCATAGAGTTGTGAAGAAAACAAAACGGAGCCGTACGCTGCGCAGGTAAAGAGCTCTTCGGACTCGTTGCTCAGAGCGAAAAATGCTGCTCTGACTTTTGCTATTCATACCTTCATTTCGCTGTCAAATGTCAGGTGTCCTAACAATGTGCTGCGGAGATCCGAGAGACACGTTCTCTTACAACCATTTATAGAATAAGTGGTGTTTTCTTTTGATTCCTTAGGCAGGTTGATAAAAGACGAACGTGTTGCAAACGTTCAAGTATTCTCAACTATCCTCACGTTACCAACACTCAACAATTTGCTCAGAGGAAGAATAGCTCCATAACAAGCCTGCAGGTTCCATCTGAGATTGCGTCACTCGAGGTCAGCAGGCGACCAAATCTCAGTTGGAAATTCCCAAGTGGCTCTACTTTGCCAAAAATTTATAGTTAATCCTGAGCAATGCGCTGCCGAACCGAAGGTTGCCAGCCACCGTAATCCCGCTCAGAATGCGAAAATAGTGTACACGGCAATTTAGTAGTGTAGTACACGGCAATGGCGTTCATGTGGCAGTTTTCTGGCCAGGAAGCTCTCCGGACTGAACAGATGGTCGTTCAACCATGGCCATCAGTTAACCATCAGATAACCACCCAAATGTTATTGAATTGGTATGCAGTCTTCGCAGTGTGGAAACGCTTCTTCGTGGATGACTGCGAAACAAAGGCTGAAGAGGCATGGGACAAGAACACGGCCCTGATTCACACCAAGAGTCCTCATCTGGGCTTTCGTGCCAATGCAAAATGTTTTCATGAAGCTGACAAATGTGTGAACAACCAGGCATTTGCAGGATGTTCCACAGTGTTTCTCTGTTGACAGAGTTAAAGATAATAAGGAAGCCTAGAAAAAGTTTCCAGGGTAATTGATTCAGTTCACGAAGGTCCCCTTGGGTTTGTCACGCGGTAAAAATAAGGAAATCCACATTGATCCTCAAGAGTGTCTTCCTTCAGAATTTCACCTACTGGTCAATTAAGCAGGACACGGCAATAATCTTGCGCGCTGTGCACACAAAACTAATTTCGTCAGTGTATATACTCTGTCTATTTCCTTCCCCTGCGTACATTACAATTATCACTGCACCCTTGAAGTCTTGTCATTTCCCAGGGTGTAGCGTTCAGTAGTTTGATTCACGTTACCGCAAGCCAAATGAACTAGTGCCGACCTTCAACTGCATTAGGCCACCTGGTGAACTGAAAGGGCTATTTTTTCCATCCTCATCTCCGTAATTGATGTGTTGGTTTGGCTTTTATTGGGCGGCCGTAGCTCTAAGTCATTTAGATCCTAATTTCAGGTGTTCAGATTTTATTGTTTGTCCTGCTCGTGTTATTCTGAGGATTTTTCGCCGTCCCCACGATTCGTTCTTTCTCGGCTCTGCTACAGCTACTTAAACCAGTGTCTAAGTTTAAGGAAGTCCGGGACCAAACTAGTCGTGATTGTTTCCAACTGAGAACTCATATTTTTCGCTGTATAAGCATCCGTCGAAAATCTCTCACTTTGTTGTCATTCCTCAGACGCCCCATAAAACCTCTGTTTGCTACCTCCTATCTCCGCGAATCTCCCAAAGAAATGCATGAAAGCCAAGAGACCCAGCATCTAACGCCTCGCCTCTCTGGGTTGGATGGGTGAGTGCTGCAACCGACCTCCGTCTGCTAGTTTGCACCTGCTGATATCTCACATTCTTCCCCACAAAATGACGCACCCTGCTCCATGGTTTTGAAAGTCTTTCATCTTAAGGCTTAAACAAACCATTTAGAAAATGAAGTCATCGTTTCCACCGGCTGCTACCCAATTCCTTTCTTCTAAGCCTTGGTGTAGTATGCAGTTCGTCATCTTTGGAAAAGACGCTATTCCTCACTGACACCATTGAACCAAAGATTCCTCAGTGCCCTATATGTGCGCAGCACCCTATTAGTATTTGTCACCATTGTGCAATGCAAACCCATCGGATTATTGCCTGGGTAATCGTTCTGTTGTATTTTCAACTGCTTGTTGGCCTAGTTCTGTCGACAGAAGTCGAAGGAGCTATTCGTTTGTGAGTCACAAAAATAGCCGACAACTCGTCCGCATGCGGTCTATGATAGCCCAACAAGAGCTGAGAATTAAAAGATATTGTAGCGGTTGTCGACACTCTAGAAGCGACCACTCGCTGTGGAATCCACGCTATTCGACAAGGAAGAAATAAAAGCACACATGACTACTGGTGAGTAGGCTGATAGTGGTTAGATTTCAGTGCTTCGAAAGTAAACGGACTGTCCTGAAACTCATTATCAACACCGGAAATCGATCGACTTTTTAAGCGCATACACGTTGTCTGGCTCAATACAGTTTGCTATCACGAGTTACTAAGTCCGCTTTAGGTATTTGTGAATAACATTGGGCTAGTCAGCTCTCTTGTTTAGACAGTTTTTCATTCCAATGGGGTTTCGTGTTTGGTGAGGGCGAATACTTCGCCAAATGTGCTTCATGATACAGGGTAACGGCACCAGAAGTAAGTAGCTTCACGAGCAACTAGCGGTAGAGTGATGGTTCTGGAATCAAGTAGTAAAACGGACCTAGTGTGTCATGGAGATTCCTAAATGGGTTAATTGGCTCATAAGTCACAAGACATCAGCGTCAGTTGCGGTTTCAGTTGGTGTTTCAGAGTGATGCCAAATCACTTTTTGGGTCCGAAAGATATGCTTGTGGAAACTTCTGGCTGTAGCAAAATAGTTCCGGCGAATCAATAGACCAGTGCGCATGTATTTTGGAATGTCGAAGTCACGCTTCAGGTCCACAAATGCTTATACCCTTTAAGACTGTCTTCATTCAATAGATTTGGATGCAAAACATTGATCATGTGCAAGCTTTTGTGCTCAAATACACCAAAAGCAAAAAATATCTCAGTAAAAATGCTAGGTACAAAACATTTATCAAGTAAATGCAGTCAAAACAAAATATAGCTCGTTTTGGGGTTACTGCTAAATCGTGTGCTTGGTTTGCTCCTGGCGACTAACCAGACAATGCATGCTTGAATAACAGTCTATGTAGACATCTCTTGTGAGCCGTACGAAACGATACCACTTCGCAATCTAAGATGGATAGAGCGCGTAAAGTTTCACACAGCAACTATAGGCATTCCCAGTGCAAATTTTCTAGCCAATTGATAATGCAGTTCGAAAAACAGTGGACGCAATCGGCCGAGTAAACCATGTTTGAAAATATCTCCTTCTTGACAACATGAACTTGCTTATGCCGCATACTGAGTTATCAGTGTAAACTTCCGTCGATGCAGCTCGACATGTTTATTTTATGCATCATACGAGACTTAAAACAACCAAAGTATGAGTTTAGATCGATAGTATTAGTCATTAAGCTCTAATGAATGACAAATGAAATGATCGCTCTAATTCATCACCACGTACAATTAACCTTAGTTAATCCGAAGATCCAGTCTCTATGGACATTGCTTCATACCTACTGCGCTCCTTTTTGTCGATTTATACACTCGTTTAATCTGTCATGTTATCACTTTCTAAAGTGGGACACATCATCGGTAATCGACAGCAGTTTAGCATGAGCGTATGTCATCATAAAGCTAAGGTCGATGTGCGGCGATCAATTTTACCTGAGACGCCACAAAATCACGGATCAATCGGAAATGATGTCAACAGGTTACTTCCCTCGGATGTCGGAAGAATAGTTGATTGAAGTTGCACTTGTCTGCTCGGAATCAGTGGTTGTCAAACCCAGCTCCCAGGTACAAAAAAAGCGGGTCCAAAGGGAAAAACGCAGGCAGAGAAAACATGACGAACGCTATCGGTTCCAGCTATACGCAGAGGATGGGCAAAGTCTGGATTAGTATGCGTGGTGACGGCGGGTAACCTCGCGCCCTGAGTGCCGTTGATGCAAACAATAACATTACAACAACATTATTACTTTCAGCCGACATCATCATTAGCATATTTCGTGCCGCGGCATCTACGAAGAACCAATCCTACTCCGACACATGGCACGGTTTGTAACTGCTATCATCCTACTGAGAAACGATAAATTGGTTGTCTTCCCGATGCACCATTCGCAAAAAACATCCATCTCTCCTCCAAGTTGCAGAAGTGGAAAACTCTTGATCGACCGAAAACTAAAAAAACGATTTTGTCACCCATTGCAAAGTTAACATGTATAGATTTTCGCTTAGGAAGACAAAACATTTACGTATGAATGTTTCCGATTGATGAATGTGGCCAGGATATACAGACGATGTCTACGGCAGCTTGTTTATGACCAGCGTATGGTACTGAAAGAGTGTAGCGTGGGAATTCTCTGACTTCAGCATTCCTGAAGTGCATTTTGCTTGTTACGCTGAACGAAAAAGATTGCTTTTGATCACCAAAAGTGTTATCTACAGTGCATCTAAAAATAATCGACATCTGTGACCACTCACAGATAACGATTTTTCACAGCGCACCATAACCGGTGGATATTTACACACGCATGGACCCAGGATATTTGTATGATTCGTTGCACTGATTTAATTCCTTGTGGGATTTTCTGTGGAAGTACATCAGGATCCTTCAGAATGGATGAGACCATGGTTGTCTGCCTATAGCGCCTAGTCCGAGTGTTATAAACAATGCAAAGTAGTATCGTTTGCTTAGTGCGCCACGGTTCAAACAGATTTTCATCAGCTTATCACATCACATTTGTTGGGCTTTGACTACTTGTGAGTAGGATGTGGGGATTATTTTGGCGTCACGGAGCCTTGCCCAAGATTACTGATTTCGCACGAATTAGGGGATTAATTTGACCATACCCATGTAAAGCAGTTCATTTACTGCTGTGCGTTCGGCTTGAAGAATCCCGTCCTAGTTGGATCCTAATTAGATTGCATTTTTTCGTATTTGGCTAATACAACATCATGCAGAAAAACTTTATTTCCGTGTCCTTGCACAATAATGTCCCAGCTTGCAGGACCGAGCTAGAGGGGTTACTAACGGGACAGCCTCTAGTTTATAATGCGGCTGACCGGATTCCGCTCAGGCACGCAGATACCACCATGTGGCTTGCAGGACCTCTCCTGCACGGCTCGACAACTCTGTAATACAAAACCATCTATGTGCTGTCCAGTACTGCTGCGTTTCAGGAACAAACATGATGCCCCATTGGTCACTACAACCACTAGCCTCTCTCAACTCAACCCACTAACTCCATACCATTAAGACTAAATTAGCTGGTAGTAAAGACAAACTTCTGATGCCACACTTACCCAAACCCACAGGTCTGCAGCTCAGCGCTACACGAATGAAATTCTTTGCTATCCGCAGTCTAAACAGGTCAAGTGCTTCGAAGTGATACACCCTCTTCGGCCCCTGTGTCCATCCAACCTTACGCGCCGAGACGTCGAAAAGGCATCTGACAGTAGTACCGCGGAATTCACAAACCAAAACTGTCACTCAAACCATTTACTATCTACCCTAACCGTGCTAAGCCTTCAAAAGCCTCTACCGATGCTGGAGTTGACATGGTATACCAAAATCCTCAGCCCTCTAGCACTGATTACTCCCCAAATTTTCAAAACTCCGAACCTGCTTTGTGGCAAAATTCTCAATATTCTGGTGCCGACTTGTGTCACAAACTTGTCCATTGGTTTCAACCCAAACGTCTCCTTCCAATGAGCCTTTGACATTCCCTACTTTTTAGTCGGGCATATACTTATATCATCTCTGGCTGCCGCAATCGAACAAATAAAATTAACTACTGCTGCAGCACATGCAACATTTTCCAAGCTCGGACTTAAGACTGCCGTTGACAAGGACAGCATCGGTTCTTGGTCCAAATCCCCTGAATCTCTCCACTCCTCCAAAGTCCTTCCCTCTGTTGTCAAAGCACCCCACTAAACCCCGAGTTCTTGATTCTAGAATTCAATCGACAAATCCCGACCATGTTCATTATTTCGCATAAGTACACCACAAGAACCCCGAATCATGCATGTCCAAGTACTTTGTAGAACCCAAATGCTCACCAAACGATACCTAATCCTGACCATTAGCTGGTTCCACTTCCCCGGCTACTATTTGCCCAAGTTCCATTTTGACAGTTCCATACTCCACTACAGCCTACAACTCTTCCAAACCACATACAGCTCCAAAAACACCAGCTGGTTGTCCTCACTGCCTTGTTCATATTGGTTAGAAGATCACATCATCTGGATTTCTTACTAGGAGACTCCTCATTCTGACAGCACACGGTTTGAATCGCTTGACACGCGCTTTCTAAATAGTCGCCACAAAGTGTCACACGTGCAGCGTATTCTAAGCAGCCAACTTCCACGGAGTTCCCACTAGCCTCTTTGGAGTACCAGAGTGAGTGTAACCTAAGAAAGCGTAGAACGTCTGTGTCTACCTCACATCGATGCCTTGAAAACCAGACTCATCCAGCCGGGTGAAACACAGGGCCCGTTCTTGACATTGCTAAGCAACCTATCAGTTGTGTACCGGATTAGATTCATCGACCGCACCGAACCACACACTCACATGGTGGCACGAAAAAGTTTGGACACTGGAGAAAGCTGAGTTAACGAGTGACTTTCCGTCAGAAGAGGGAAAGTGTGTAAAATCCCTTCGGATGTTGACCCAAGTCGGCTACAACTAGAAGCACTATCAGTTGGACTTACTTTGAAAATTCCGCCCAGAGAAATTGACCACAATTTCAAAAAGGCAGATTTCGAACACTTGTTTGACTAACTCAATGAAGTTCTGCCTGCGTCACCTGAGAAATAATACTGGTTCAAAGCGAAATGAAATGACTTCAGAACACAATGCTTCAGATGATCTAATACAAACCACAACTGGCCATATCAAAGTCAGATATGGGATCTGGCGCAGTTATTCTAAATAAAGTGGCTTGTGTGCCAAAATACGCGCAGTTTTAGCCGGTAAGTCCAAATTTTTAAACGATAAACAACTACGCCATCTACTATTGGTGGAAAAATAAATAACTGGCGTCTTTTTTCATGGCTTCATTCTTCCGACAATGCTTCAACTGTCGCTGTGCATATATGAGAGCTTTATAGACTTCCAAAAACTCATAAACACAGTCTATCTATTTGCCGAACTTTAGCTCCGAATACATGGCACTCTCGTCCCCCAGCTAACCAGCCGGTAGGTATTCTAAGATCCGCCAGAAAAACTCCCACAAAACACTGTGATAAGCCCATATGAACATGTCTCACCTAGAAGACATTGGTACCTCTTATAAGATCATGTTTTCATTTGATTTCCAGTGACTTTCAACGTCCCCACTAATGAGATTGGATTTATTGAGCGATTCTCTGAAATCCAACCACTTATGCTCATTAGAAGACAAGGTCAAGGTCTTCCGACAGCACCAAAATACGAGTCTTTTCTTTCCGGGCCAGGCGTTCCCAGATGTCATGTTATCGGGACTATGAATGGCAACAGTGAGCAACTGCTCACAACCTTACTCGATAGAAGCAACGCATCACAATATAGACAGACTCAGGCAGTGGCCACTCCCATTTACTTGATTACAGGGCCCTGCTCCAGCGAGACGTCCAAGAGTTGGGCAGCACAACAGCGGTGCGATAAGTTAACCACAAAACAGATAATCAGTTCACCTTACTTCGGCATACAGCTTGATGTAACCAGTCTAGCTTTCTGAGATTAAAGTGGCACGAATTGAGATGCCAGATGGCAGTGAATCAACAGATCGAACGAAGACCTCATGGCTAATTCGACTATGAAAATTTACGGACATAGGAACTGCTAACCGGAAACAGTAAGCCTCTGCTAGTTATAATGCCCATCACGGAGATGATAAAAAGAAGGAAAAGTAAACAGATATAAGGAATTGCTATTCGTCTCTAGAAAAACTAAGCCCATGATCATTTGAAAGTTACTTAAGGGTAATGGGTCAAGCTACGTGACACAGTTCAGGATGCTGGTGCACAGAGACGCGGAACACGTGGTGCAAGCCGTTAGCAAAAACAAAATAGTGGATAGCAAAACCTAGAAAACGCGGGAGCTAAGGGATAAATTGATCGATGTTGGGAAGCGATCGATATTCCATCACGCAGAAAGTGCTCTACATGAACGCAGAAAATTGGTGGGAATTCATTTGTTGCGTATATATTTGAGCGCTTACAGAATGAGGATAAAATTACCTCAAATAGGTGTGTGGAAACTAACCATTGGCATTCCACCCGGCTTTCTGCAGAAAAGCGGAGATACTCTATGAATTTATCCTTATTGGCAGAATGCATCTGATGAATCTCCTGGGAGATTCGAACTGGGGATCCCCAGACTAGGGTTTGTAAACTAAACCGCTGAGCTACGACCGGTAGATTGTACTTGCATACGACACAACGCCACTCACTGAATCTATATCACGTGATCATATATTGACTGGCTCCTCGAGTGATGAGTTATCAGTTGGAAGGTTCACTTGTGGCGTGAATCATTCTTCTTTCTGACCTGAGAGTACAAGGAGACTTTGGAATTGCCGTCATCATGTTTATCATCCACCCTCAGAATACACAACCCATCTATCCACCCCACGAATACTGGGTTGGTTCCGGAATCTTGTCCGAGAAGAGATAACACCTAGTTGGTTACCCCAGGTAGTCTTTCCAAACAAGGACTATTGTGGTTGAGACGCATCCGATGTAAGATGCGCTGATGTTATCGATTTATGACACAGGCTCTGTTTACGCAGCGTTAAGACAAGTTAACACCTGGTGCACTCTACGATCGCAACCTATAGGGAAAAAAAGAGGCACATAAGAATAAATGCATTCTGTTCAGATGAGAGAAACGAATAAAAGTATAATAATTACTAAAAAAAATCACAATTACGCACATCAGCGTTAAAAAATCAAGCCCAAAAATGTGGACAGCAAACAGTTAAATATACAAACGAGTGGCCATTCACTGGAAGGAAACAATATATCGGTGGAGTGGTTGATTAGTCAGCAACAAGGATAATGCCAACAACAAATGAAATGGGGACGACTGGGTATCGAGGAGGATGGTCAAGTAAGAGAAGACGTTTTATCTGTAAAGACAGTCAAAAACAATGTTGGTTATTACGAAGTGTCGCCGTTTTCAGCCGTTATCCAAAGTGACTCGTGATGTACTAAATATGAAAAAACGGAATGTTTTGATTATAGGTTATAGCTAGTATTAAATATTCTGTTTCACACCGTTGAATGAGAGCAAAATGCAGATGCGAGTCGTTTTATCACATATGTTACTGATTTCGAGTGACTGGTGATCGGATTTCGTTCCAGCTTGGAGCCTGTGCAGCCCCGACGTGATCACGACTCTTAGTATGCTTTGTAGCCGAGGCCTCGCCGGGCCACTTTGGCCGACAGTATATTGTGGAGGATGAAGACCACGGGTTTTGGGCACCCAAGCATATCCAGTTCCTGAAAGAAGAGAACATTGGCACAATTCTCAAATCAATAGACAGATTTATTAATGATTCAAATCCAGTCCAGTCAAAACCAGTAAAAATAAAAATTGCTATACATGTTTCACAAGTTAAACATCAATTTTGGGTGCACAGGCTTTTGTGACTGAAGCTCCAACTGACTGGGCTGTTAGAGAGAGTTGATCATTCTCGTATGTCATTATTTTGGGTCAATTTCCGTCGGACATACATGTGTAGTGAACACACAGTAAGATAGGCTGCATTGTCAAAGCAGACAATTCAACTTAGCAGCTATAGGCCGTATACCATAGGTACATTGGTTCCTTTCCTTTGCCTTCTTGATTCGTTGTTGCTTATTCATTTAATGAAACAAGGGTAATTGCGAGTGACCACATATGGACTTGTTTTTCTTTACATCGTCTCACAGTGTAGGTTATTCGGAACTTGAACGTTTCGCTAGATTACGTGTTGAGACTTGGACTTACTTCAAGATCAAGCTAAACAGTGGCAGTCCCGTGGAAAGACCTCCGAAGAGAGAATAATCTCCAGAAAGTTGGTTACCTTACTTTTTCTTCGATTATCCGCCTTTTGGGAGTAAGGTTAAACCCGAGTTCTTCAGCAGTTTCCGTTCATGGAGTCGGGACTTCTGACAGTAGTGTCAATTCGATTTCTTGGAACTACCCTGCCCCTGGTATGGGTAATTTATTTGGTTACTGGAGATGGCTCAGTGATAAGAGCGCGAATTTGCTGACCAGAAGGTCCGTCATTCGAACGCGACCTCTGCCTCTCGACTTGCCCTGTCTAGGCTAGGGCAACCTGCCAGTATCCCAGCCATCGTTTAACATTCGGGTGGCATGACAACTAGGCACCGAAAGGGTGCTACAGCTGAATAGCGACACAAATCGAGGACAGTAAATATTGGCGATGCTCCTTCGTACTCGTTTGTTCTTTTTGTCTTGAGATGCATCGGGAAAAACTGCTGGTGTATTCCTAGGCCCAAAAACACTGAAACTTGTTTCTCCGGCTAACTTCACCAATTTTACCTCTGGCGGGCTTGTAAACGCAGCTTGGTTCGATTTTTTTCAATATTCCCCACATGCCCAACCAGTTATTATTCCGATGTTTGGTCCAATGCACATAGCTACAAGAACTCAAGCAAAAAAGGTGTTTGATTTCTTGATACTTGCCTCTTATCCTACCGGTTTTCTCGTCCTACTGGATGACGTTCATAATTCTCGCTTACCTTATTTTTGAGACGTATGCACTATCTCACTGCGTGACATTTGTACTCTACTCATCGGCAGTTATTTATCAATGCCACAAATGTTTCTGCGGTTAGGTAGCTAGGTTGCCAAATCAAGCACATGTTTCGAAGCTGTCCTCGCGATAAACCGTACGGATACGTGTTGTCATTTTGATGGGCCAATGTTCGATGGACAGCGACGGGACCTTGGCATATCAAGGGATGCAGAGGCCCGCAAGTACTGACTATCAATGATGACATTCGTCAATCATCTGATCTGAATTTTGTTGGTTGGAGCTAAGCATGCACGGTTCATGAGTGTTGTCCACGCTTACTCACTTGATGTTGTCATTGGCCGACAGTTTATCCATTCTGAACGTAACCAGCCGTGTAGCATCAAGAAATGGGTGTTGTTCAATTTTCTGGTTGACTGAGCACCCTTCTAAGACGAAAGCCTCCATTTTCTGTTTTCTAAAACCATGTGTTTTTCATAGCTCTGTTGCCATTCAGGCTATTTCAAGCACACAACGGTATCTGTACAACAATATACCGAAGGATCCTGGTTCTTTCCAACCTTATTCCACAGCATACTCATATTTATTCAGTTCGTGCTGTGTCCAACGGCATGCTACTCAAGTTTTTCCACTATATATCGAATCACACTACCTTATATTTCTTATCCTTTTCAGTGGTCATGTGACCCATGATGCCCCTATCTCTGGCTCTCCTCTGTACGTGATCCGTGCGTTCTTGCCAGTGATGGACTCGTTTGGTTTCGAGACCGATCTGCGTACGCATTCACAAGGGCAGGCATTTTGCTTACTTGTCTTCAATCATTGGCAAATGGTTCCCGGAGACCCTCTGGATCG